TCAGGGCTTTGGGTTTGGGGTGTTTGGTTTGGGGTCTAGGGTTGGGGGCTTAGGATTTAGAATGTGGTCGTATGATTGAGGGTTTCTGGCTTAGGGATTCGGGTGTAAGGCTGGTTAGGCCTACTGCATTAATTCAGGGTTTGACCGTGCTGTAGAGGGTTGTAACATTTTTTATAAGAGTTTTCAAGAAGAGTCTAGGACATTTTCAGGTGGGTAGCTACCGTTATAGCAGCCTTATAGAAGGTCTATATACCTTATAGAAGCCTTATAGAAGCCCTATGTACCCTGAACTCCCCATCTGTGGCTTCCTTTAACTAAAACTCTAATAAACGTTTCGGGGGTGCAGGAGTTCTAGGATCGATGGTTTGCCCTGAGCAGTAAACCGTAGGTCCGTGTCGAATGGCGTTCCTGGGTTCTTGCTCGGGAATTTACTTCAATGACAGGGATCTATACGTGGAACTTGAAAATGAAGTTCTTTGACAAGAGCCCAGTTTCACCGGGAAGTGAGAGAAACAGGTAGAGGGTGAGGGCATTCTGTAGCTGAATTTCGCACTTCACTGCTTTCTAAACACGTCCAACCCTAATTCCCTAAACCCCCGTAAACCCCAAGACCCTATATGGGTAGTTCTCTAAATTAGGGTCCTTAGGGTCTGTTTTATAAGGGTGCCGTGTTATATTCGGGATCTGAAAAGGGACCCGAATTTAGAGAACTACTCATATACACTCCGAAGCTTCAAACTCCTGTTGAAAGGCCCTCATGGGGAAGTACATCGCCGTCTTTACCGGCTGTCCGGGGCTGTGGCCTGCATTTTGTCAGTTTGGATTCCTGAACCCTAAACCTGAAGCCCTAAACCTTTGTGATTTGATGTCGAAGGTTCGTTTGTCGAGAACAAGGAAGGTGTGTTTTACTTGCCTGCTGTATCTAAGATTCGCAGGCTAAACACCCTGCGGCCTCTGCAGGAGGGAAAGGGTCGTGCACAAAAAACCAAACCCTGGAACTCTTAAGCCCATTTGGCTTGGGGGTCTTTTGGTCAAGTTTTGGGCCGTGCGGGGTAACATAGGGGCCTCCAGAATTACCTAACATTATGTTGCGGGGTTCCTTTTTATATTTTTTTCTATAAAGGATCCGAAAACCCTATTCTAATTATTAAGCTACCTTAGGATCGTTTTTTCATGGTCCAAGAGTTCTGGTTTCAAGGTTCGGGTGCCGGGTTCCGCGCTTCAGGGCTATAGGGGTTTAGGGTTAGGGGTGCAGGTTTCAGGGTTTTAGGGGTTTGGGATTTAGGGCTTCAGGTTTCAGGACTTCGGGTTCAAGAGCTTTTCCTGGGCGTGTCTGCTTTTTTTGTATTTGAGGGTGTGGTCCTAAACCCGGAACCCTACACCCTAAACCCTAAACCTAAGGTAGCCCTTCAGTCAGTCCCGACCTGATCCATCTTGTTCCCAAACGGAGATCGTTCATGTCCCGAGTCTGAAGGGGAATCTTGATATAAGGAAATACCCAAAAGAGGCGAGATCCATGTTGCTTACTTCTTGTGGATTTTGTGCTGGAAGCTCCTGGGCAATCCTACTGTAAACCCCCAACCCTCAACCCCAAACCCTAAACCCTATCGATTTGTCTCCAAACGCCCAGCGGAATTACCGCTTTTCAGACTGCTGCAGGATTGAAAAAGGGTCGTTCAAAAAAAACCCTAAAACGCCTCGCAGCCAAAAGCCTTTAAACCTTCGGCCTCCGAGACGGAGGTGCGAGGGTCGGATTGAGCTTGGCAGCTATTTTATTTGTTTATGTTCCACTGCAACCAAAAAATAATAGTAATAGTAAGAATAATAAAGATAACAAGAATAAGAATAACAATATTAGTAGTAACAATGATGATAATAATAAGCCGGTGTATGCATAACTACAGCGCAGCTGCAACTACTGTGCCACCCGGTTCCTCAACGTTCAACCCTAACCCTCCGAGGACAGGCCGCCACTGGAGGCTATTGACAAAGCCCGGACGCTGCTGACCCGTTTGCAGGCCCCAGCCCATGCGAACACATAACAGCTGTAATGAATTTATGTAAGCTTGATTTTTGACAAAAATGTAGCAACGACAGTCGTAATAACGCTGATTAAGAATGTACTTGTCGTGCAGGCTTTGAGGTCTCACACGTTTTCGGTTGCGTGGGGTCTTGGTGAATACTTCCAGGTACTAGGTTCTGAGAGCATCGGCTCACTAAACCCTAATTAGATCCCAAACCCAAACCCCAAACCTTAAACTTAAACCCTAAAACCCAAGCAGTAATTGTAAACGCCTCGCGACGGGAGCCTGGGCCCGGCTGCAAGTGAAGAGAGCCGAAGAAGTCAACCCCGAGGCCGTCATTTGGGTCAAGGTTTAGGATGTATAGAAATTGCTACGGGTTTGGGTGCCAATAGATTTTGACCGAAACGCTTTGCCTTTTGACCGGAAGTTGTGAACAGGTTTCCTTGTGGAATCTGTTTGAATCTGGGGCTGGTGTGGGGGGCGGGGGGCTGGGGCTGGGCTGGAGTTGGGCTGGGTGGGGGGAGGATTGGGTTGGTGGCGGGCTGATGGTGGGGGTGGGTTGATTGGTTTATTGAAATTCGAAAGGCTGTGTCCCGACCGAAAATAAAGTAGGTTTACGAATGGCCAACAGCGGCCAGCAATTTCTGTTTTTTCTTTCCTGAGAGTGTAGGGTTTTCAGTCGGCCGTTAGGGGAGCGGGAGGAGGGAAATCCGTTGGATGCCTGGGGCGTGCAGAAGCTCCTTTCAGCTCGTGGAAGGTATCGGCGAGTTGAAAGCAAGAGCGCATCAGTACTGGACCTCCTGCAACACCCGTTTTTGAAGGGTCCCCTTAAGATCCCTCAATGACTCAAGTTTCATATCAAGGTTCGTTACCATATCCTGAATCAAAAGCAAAGGTCCACATTATCGTTGCGAGTATGCACTCCTCCTTACCGTCACTACTACGCTTGTTACATGCTACGTGCAGGTTTATGGTTGACTCTTCGTGTGTACATTTGTTAAATAGAAGGCCAGATTCTTGTTCCTGTGGCATTGACATATCACGTGAGAACCAAGAGATGCATTATTCGCGCTCAGACGGGTTTTCGTCCAGGTAAACAGAGAGTCAACTAATCAGTCGCGAGACCTAAGCCTGAGCGTCATTATATCTAGACGGTATTTGGGCAATTACTTCTCTAAACTAGGGTCCCTTTGAGGGTCCTTGTTATGAGGTGCCATACTATAATTTCTATAATTATTGGGGACCTAAAAGGGGAACTTAAGTTCGTGAACTACCCAGTATCGCATGTCTGCAGCAGGTGCTCGAGCGCAAGCCAGGAGGGGATCGACCCTCAGAAAGTCGCTTGAAGCGTCTGGGCATGTTTCGGGTACATGTACCTTAAGAACCCAAAACCCACTTTTTTTGTAGGGTCCCTATAAATCCCATATTAGGGTTTATAATAAGAACCTACAAAAAAGTGGGTTTTGGGTTCTTAAGGTATGTTCACACACCCGGAACAAGAGCTATGTGGTGCGGGAGTGAGAGCGCAGCAGCTGCCAGCAAAGTGTATGAATTGAATTTTCAATAGTCGTCAAGCTGTAGCAACAGCAGCTACTGTAGAGGCGATGCTCTGTAGTGCGAACTGCACGACAGTCCCGATAAGTCGCTTCAGGTGTGGGAGCTCACACCACGCGGCGAACTCGTCAGCAACCTTCCGGTGGCTCGGCTTTCTTATTGCTGCATAACGTACTTTTCGAGTGCTTCTAGGGGTAGTTGTCGGAGTCTGTGCACGAGACATGTTCACGTGATACACGTGCCCTCCTTCCTGCAAAGACAGGATCTCCACAGACCAACAATCAAACCTTTTGGCAGTTGCTAACGTAGGACCATGATGGTAAGTTGGAGCAATACTACTACGCTTCCACCACCACCACCACTGCTGCTACTGCCACTTGACTGCTACGACGTCTTACTGCTGCTGCGGTGGTTGGGATTCTGGTGCAGGATTCGGTGCTCGAGTGAACAGCTCAAGAGGGCTTCAAGCGCGAGGAGCACTCCTGATGCCACACTGCAAGATAGTGAAAGTTCAGACAGATAACGAAAGCTCAGACATGACATGCTCGGCTTTTGTGAACTTCCGAGGTCCACCCGCGAATTGCGAGCTCCGGCGAAATTCATTCTCCAGGGTAGGGCTGCGCAGGTTCTCTTCGTATACTTCGGTGGCGGTGCGAGGATATGTTGCAGTCTGTCGGGATCAATGAAGGAGGTGGTCTGACGGAGTACTGTGTACGCTGAGTGGGAACACTTTACAGTTCTGTGGAGCCCTGCAAACAAGCACGACGTGCATGCAAATTCCTAACATCATTCACCTAGCCATCCCGAAACACCGCAGAGTTGCATGATGAAGCGCGTTTTTGTTTTGGCAGCACGGGATCTCGGTCTTTGGGTTTGAGGGAGTCGGGTGTTCAGCTCTTTGGGGTTTTCAATTTTGATTCTGGTGATTTGAGCACATGGAACTTCAGGCATTTTGTTGAGGCCTTTGAAAGATGCACACCTATTTACAGTATTCACTATGCAGCGGCTTTGCCCTACGAGTAGCAAGTGATGTTGGGAAATCTGTCCCAGGAGGAGCCAGCCGCTTCCCTCATGCACCGCTGTAACTGTACGTAGCAAGCGCATGTTGCGACATCCTGGCATGAGCCGAGCTAAACCAGCTGTGGCTGCCTGGCTTTAAGGCATATGGTCCTGCAAGCTCAGTCGGTCTCCGACAGTTTCGCAAGGGATGCCTGTGCCCGGGTCCTTACAAACACCAGTGGCGCAGCTTCATAGAGGTGCAGCCAGTGCAGCAGTATCTGACAAGCATGCAACCTGAGCTGAGCCTGAGTATATCGACCATGATAACTTTCGTGTGGTTTGGCGCTTGGCATGCATTTCTCGTCGCAGCCGATTTTGTTCACATTTCTCCGCACTTTTAACCCCGACCCGAGTGTCACAAGTATGTCAGGCCAGCCCAACCAGGCTCGTCGGTTTCCGCCGGCCCGTGTCCAGCATGCGGTCGGGCAGGATGTAAGTGCGTAATACGTAACGGGGAAACATGGCATGCACAGCGAAGTCTTTGGAAGCCGCTTGATTTGCTAACCAAGCAAGGCATCCAGTTGCAGACCGTGGCACATCATCGATCACGGGCAACCATCATCACCATCATCATTAACAGCATGTCAACATACATACTACATGCCTACGTCTATGAGTCTTTATGCATATGCGTGTATAATCCTGTATACATATAGGTGTATGCGGACCTATATTGTAGGCATACAAGTGTAAGCGTGTAAAGAATTGCATACGGACGTACATGCATACATGCACGTATGTACTTAGGTATTTCACAAGTGAGAGCATCTCCATGGATGCAGAACTTCGTGCTAGCTTCGCCATAGCCTTTCGCTAGTCATGGCACATCAGTGCCATGTCTCGGCAGCTACCCAGTCCATTTTCTTTGCTCAACCGGTTCATTCGGGCTTTGGGTGAATAGGGATCTGCCTGAGCAAGGTTTCAACTGTACGGTCGCGCAGCATGCGCAATCCGCACTCTGCCAGAGTATAGGTCGATCTAGTTCATCGTGGACCCGTGTGAACGAGTCCAGTACTGCGTGGTCGGTAGACCGGATCGTAGTCCGTAGAGTGCATACGCGACAATGAGCGTCGGACAAGAAAGCCAGAACAGAGCGTCGATTTTATTGTGGAGTGCACGAACTCGTAGGCTGGTAACGCGAAAGCCCGGCGAATGCAGCATCACGTTCATGAGAGCGATAGCGGCTCACTTGGGCCCGTTTGCGAAGCCCCAGCGGGACAGAACAAAACGCGCAGAAGACTCCCTGCTTGTCAGTACTTGAAGGCCTTTGTCATGGCCGCGAATGCTGGTGCAGCGACTGAATCAGGTCCGATCTTGCCATGTTCTTCGAAGCCTGAACTCTATTCCCGAAACCCTCTTAAGACTGCAAGTCTCTGCAGGTCTTGCTTACGCCTCCCAGCCGTCCCTGTCACAGATCCATGCGCGCGCCCGGCTGGGTCGCAAGCTCAGTTTGCAACCCAAATGTCGGTGTTAGTACTTGTCTCAATCGAAGCCTGCATGTTGCAGCGTTGCCATGCAACGATTCAGTGCGTCTTGTTGGCATTCTCTTGTGGCCTTTGCTATTTCGAGCATGGGGTATATTCAATCCAGGAGTAGCCCGGAGCATATCCAGGCACTGGAGTAGGAGGTAGCCGAAAACCACTACTAATAATTAATAGTTATAATAGCTAGTACAACATCACTAAAACACAAGTGTAGAAAAACTGCAATCATCATCACCATCATCACCATCATCATCATCATGATAACAGCAGGAATCTCAAGTTACTCAGGCGCCGCTTCGGCACAGAACGCCGCGAAGGGCGCAGAGTCCAATGCGTCGATGTCGGCCCCGGCAGCTTTGATGGGCACCTTTGGAAGAAAGAGACCCAGAGAGCCCAATACCCATTAAATAACCAGGACCCTCCAAGTACCCTCAAACAGGGCTATATCGCCCCAAATTCAGGGTATTTAGGGTCTAATAGAGGGTCTATAGATGGAGGGTCTAGGAAGGAACATACCTTAAATTGTAGGGGCCTTAATATTATGATTTAAGGTATATATCAAAGGGTATTGGGCTCTTCGGGAGTTTCCGATAATCGGGGACTCTATACTATGGAACCCTAGAAGTAGGATCCTTATTATTAAGGGCCTACCCGTTCTTGTCGGAAACTCCCAGTGTATTGTGTACGGTAGCACACTACGACAAGCTGTATAATTAGTGTACTAAGTTGTGTATACCACAAGGAATATGCGGCCCACTGTTCCTCCTGCAGAAGAGCTATCCTATGTCAGAACAATGCTGTCGGAACTTCGACTCAGGAACGAAGGGTTGAGGGCGCCCAGAGTTTGACCTTGAAGCCCCCCTGGCCGCTTGCTTAGCCCCAGAGACCACGCCTCAACCGAGCACATATAGGATACTCCCAGGTGGATCCCTGCTCGGGCTTTGCGCCAGCTCCAAGCGCTCCAAGCGCAGCTCCAGGCGCACGGCTTTGCGTGTCGCAACGGCCGACGTCCAGGCAGGTGCAGGGGAGCCTATGATATGTTATAAGACTCATGACGACACCCTGTGATAGTGAGATTTTTTCTCCAGCGTTCTACACAGAGTTCTAAATGGCAGCTCAAAGGGCTACGGTTGGGACCATTGCTGTGATGCTCTGGAGACATGTCGAGCGTCCCTGACCCCCGTGCCCTTTCCCAACCCTCAGAGCATCGCCATTGCCGTTGCTATGACGACTGTACTGTCATAGACGAACCGACACCAGCGCTGAACAAGAATCATCGCGACGATTGTAAGCATGAGCCATTGTAATCAATGTGAAACAACCACAAAGAGATCAAATAAGCCTTGATGCTAGCAGCCAGCACTAAGAAGAAGACAAGAGCGCTGTGTCCCCTTTCGACCCAACATGCCTTGCCAGACTCTGAACGCTCCAGATGGGGAGGATGAGATGATGGCAGGCCCGCGATTGTTTTGGGGTCGCTTTGCAAACTCCGTGCTTTTCAATTTTTCACTAGTCATCCCCAGCTCTTCAACGCAAACCTCAGGCGCACAAGTGGAAAGCAGGCTTGCACGTTTCAGTTCTGCTGGCAGGTGTTTCCGGCGGTGCCTTTGGTGGCTACACGCAGTCGAATGTGTCTGCGCGCCGGGTTGTGCCTTCTGAGGCAGGCTCCTTTCTGTTTAGGGCCCAAGCGTGCTTGAACGACTATAGGTGTGCTTGAGGGAGTCTTGCATGAGCTTGCCGTGGCCAGGCGCAGAGACAGGGTCGGAAGTACGTCAAAGTAGTTTACGTGGTTCTGGAGTCCCAGTATCAGTCGGCCACGCACTCAGCTGATTTAAATTCCTGAGACTCTCGTATCTGTACTGCTGTCTCCACGCTGCTTCAGTCTTGGCTGCTGTCGAAAGCTACTCCGTCCGGCAGCCCGGTGTTCTGAGGCAATGACTACTGCCATCCGTCAGATCAACAAGTCTCCGGGCCCTGTTTGCATGGAGTGCGTGGGCTACTTGCTGGAGGCAGCCGGGAGGGAGTGGATGCCACATGAGGCACAGGATCATCATGCTAACCCAGGGGCCGAAATAATTAATTACCAATACTATTTTGGAGGGTCCCCTATTATTACTATTATTATTATTATCATTATAGTCATTATAGTATAATATACCCCAAAACCTCATTCTAATTGGTAAGGCCCCAATACTACAGTCCTTCGACTTCAGAAGGTATCGCAAGGAAGCAGACAACAAGGGCAAGTGACAGCAGCAACTGCTGGTACGGTTGATGGACAAAATCCTGCATGACCTTTTATACCTAAACTATGGGATTTATGGTACTATACTATATTTGGGTCATGCAGAGTTTTGTCCATCAACAGTAGTGCTCAGCTCTCCTAAGCATCAGCAGGAGATTCGAGACCCTACCAGCGAAGAGGAGCTGGCAAAGGAATTCTGGCCGCAAGAATCGAGGGATAGCAGTGAGCACGGCCCAAACACGATAGTGCTGCAACAAAAGCTCACGAAGTGCCCTGGAGCCAACAGGCTCGACTCAACGAGAGTCTAAATTGAAATTACACTCCACACACATAATGAATACAATACAAGTTGCTGGCAGAGGAAGGTCGCAGGACCGTCGAAAGAAGCAACAGGCTGCCGTGTGTTGTGCCCATGTTGTCTACAACTTGGAAGACACACTTGAAGCTTGCCCCCTATGGCTGGGCACATCTGAGGACTTAGATGACGCCAACATTTTCATTTGCAACTGGTCGGCACTTTTATTTGTACAGTCCTCTGCAGTTTTCCGTCGCAGCAGCTGGGAGTGTTTGAGTCATGGCTTTATATTGTAGGAACAGCCCCGTCAAAACCCGAAACCCTTAGGGGCGGGAGCAGTATTCTTCCCGGCTGCACTGTAGGCCACTTCCATTCAAGGTTCATTGATTTTTGTGCAAGAGCTGGCCGAGAAGCTCGTGAAGATCGCGCCTTGCCAGCATTCCTACAAAAAGATTGTACTTGAATCGAATGTAATGGATCAGGAGCTTAGTAGGTGGGGCTATCTGGGGATATCGGTGATAAATAGATGACTACAGGCTGTAGTTCAATTTCCGAGCACCCCCCAATCACTGTAGGTATAGATTTGCTTACTTAGTCCCCTGATCTTTTGAGCAGGGCGTTCGTTTCTTAAGATCTGTCCTCGAATCCTGCTCCGTTGTTCTCGCACGGGACGAGCTCTGAACCCCCCAAAACCCCAAAGCTCATGAACCCGGAAACTCTTAAGGGTTTAAGGGGTTTAGGTGTTAGGACCCTAAACCCTTCAAAGAGCCCTCATAAGCTCTAAAGCCCCATTCGAGGTCGAGCCTCGCCGCGAGAATCTGGACGCCTGCCTTTGCTTCCCCTCGATGCCTGAGGCCTTCGAGAAACGGGGCTTGGGGGGGGTTGAGGGTTTTGGGTTTGTGGTTTCTAGGGTTCGAGGGTTCAAAGGCTTGGCTCGGGGTTAAGTTTTTGGGGTTGTATGGGTTGAAGTTAATGATTCGTTTGTCGGAAGAGTTGACGGGTGAACAGGCTGTGAAGGTGTTAGACACCCTTTGGCCATCGTGCTTCAAAAGAGGATTCAGGATACCGTATCGGATGAAGGCAAGGATGCCAGCACAAGCACCCGGCTTAATCGAAGGATCGTCGAAGCTTCAGACACCACATGGAGCTACATCGACTGTGGCCATTGCCTGTTGTTCCTCCAGCGGGCTCAGGAATTCGTACTTGGATCATGGGAAAGTGAATGTCAAGGACCTGGTTATTGTCTTCTTGACTTCGTAATCTTGGGAGCAAACGCCTTCCCGTCGCTTCTGTTTGTGATGTTGATTATAAACACACGCCTCAAAGGATCGACAATCCCCTCCGTAGCATGAACCCCAAAACGCTTGCTTGCTGGGCGAGGTGATGAAGCAGAACAAGCTTGGCACCTTCGATTTGACACAGATTGCCGGTGGCCCTCTCGGCAACTTCGCGCAGCAGGCCGGGCATGGACTTCTTGGCCTTGCGGCTGCTCGTGGCTATGACATCTATGATCAACTCCCGTAGTGCCATAGTGCTCGTCGTTCTTCTATTAATAACTGTTATCATCCCTAAACCGGCTAAGCCCTAAACCCTAAGCCGGCTAAACCCTAAATCCTGAACAGAACAGGAGTTGCAGTCGTAGGTATCTGGAAAAGGCTGTACGGTTTAGGGTTTAGGGGTTTCGAGCGACCTTATATACGACAATCATTAGAACAGATCCTGATTGATAAGGGCTTCCTCATCTTCGGAAGCCACCATGTCATGTCGGTCTCGCTGGAACCCCGCACACCGGGAAACTGACTGAGGCTTATGGCCCAAAGCCCGCGTCGGAAGACCCAAGGGGAGCGTAAAGAAGCTTCTTTAAAAAGCTGCAAGCCTGGTGTCCGGATCCCCGCTGTAGGATGTGGTAGGACTCGATTTTTTACAAGCTCATTCAGTGCGGGTTCAAGGGAATCCTCTAGCAGTCGGAAATTCCTCGCTGGTGCTTTGCTTCATCCCGCGATGCCGAACAGGGATTGGGGCTTTGTTATACTATAGTTATCACATGGAGCCCCCAAAGCCCTATTCTAATTATTAAGGCCCCTACATTAAGGCCTGCGTAGTCATCTTGAACTCGGCAGGCAGCTTCGGGTTTGGAGAGCCGGGTTCATGTTGGGTTCATTCATGTTGCAAACTTTGTCTGCGTATACGGTGGGCTACAGTCATAAAGCCCCACAAAGGAGCAGAGCCCTAAAGCCTCGTCCCAAAGCTCCGAAGAGCTCTTGCAGGTGAAGGACTTGAGGCAGAAGTCTTTGGCCAAGAACAAGCCGGCCTCCGGTGGGAACTTCCAGGCACCGCTGTAAAGGGAGTAAATTTGTTGACAAATGTCATGATTCTTGTTGCGCCTGTTGTATTGATACTGCAGTGATACCACACTCTTTATGACCGCATGTGAAGGTCGACTTTGATGTCGATAAACACCACGAGTATAACGAATGCTGCGAAGCTGAGCACATTGGCAACACCATCAGTAACGATGTGGTTGCTCGGTATCCGCCCAGGCCCACAATAGACGATAACCAATCTTTGCCACACAGCACTACTGTTTTTCATGGTTGCATGGATGCCCGTTATTCCACCGGCTGCTAGTGGGCTCGTTGAAGTAAGATGTCACATGAATAGCCATGACGCAGCTGCTGCAATAAGCTACGAGTACTACGGTGACGGCTAGGGTAGTTGTGCAGTTCCTTCAGCAGATGGCTGCCGCACTTCTTGCTCATGCATGCGGTGTGCCACCTGGTTGATGTGTCACAAGTCCTCCAGATCGCCGTGAGGACAGCTTGTTGAAGCTGGTCCGAACACTGCCGAAGGCCGGCCGCTTTTACATCCGCCAGCTGCGGGCTGCATGCTATTTACGAGCTTCGCTTGCGTAGCTTGAATGTGTTCCTGCACTATCCGGCACGCTGTTACATGATTCGAGTCATTTCGCATACTGCATCGCAGTCCAGTTGTTGCAGTCAGACGCGTCGGCAAGCACAGAAGCCCAAAACCCCAGCATTGCAGAGCCCCAGCCCTCGGCCATTCAGGCCCCGACACCTTCACCGTCTGACTATAAAAAAGCTTGTTCCCTTACAGACCCTAGAATCCTAGAATTCCTTCGTATAGTTATGGCATATAACATATGGGTAGTTCTCTAAACTAGGATCCCTTTTTAGGTCCCCAATATAGTACGGCACCCTTATAAAAAGGGACCCTGAAAGGGACCCTAATTTCGAGAACTACCCCATGTATTCCCCAAAGCCACAGAGAGCCAGGTCCTGAAGTTCTTGCCGGGAGATCAGGCAAAAGATGCCAGGACTGAGGGACGGAATCTTCCTGGCTTGAGAACCCTATCCTGTACTTGGAGGATCATGGGACTTAGTAACTAGGGTTATAAATAAGGCAATTATCATTATAACCCCAATTAGGGTACTTATAACCTTACTTACTAAGTCCCATGATCCTCCAAGTAGGGGCCTTCATAGTTAGAACAGGGCTTTGTGGGTATACTGCACCATAATTATATGATGAGGAGTATGGGCCTGAATTGGGTTCTTGTAAAGGGACTCGTTGCCACAATAGGGATCTACAGGAAATACAATGGCCTCGTTATTATGGTAACTTAAACCGAATCCCTTAAGAAGAACCCAGTTAAGCACGAAATCCATAGAACCCTAAGGTTCCAAGCTCTGAAGCCGCAGGCCTTCATACTGCGCTTGAGGTCGCCACTCAGACTTTAGATGCCAGGTGGCCTGTGTCAGGCCCTCCCGGACTCAACGAGACTCGATTACGACCATCACCAGTCTCATTCATTCAGTACTACTGTCAGCAACTGCTGCTGATGAGTTGCTTCTACCAGTCCGGCACAGGACCTTCGTCCTGTCTCTTCAGCACTGGCTTGGTGGTACTCCGGAGAATCTGGAGGCCGTAAATGTTGAAGCTTTAGGGTTTGAGAAGACAGGTCTGATCAGAAATCACCTGAACCGGAAATCGTGGGCATAAATAGAAATCAGTTGGGACCGAAAGCCAAGCGGGACAAGCAGAAACTTGCCCCTTTTCTGCCCCGTCAAAGCCCTAAACCCTAAACCCTAAAGCACTGAAGCAACCAGGCCATGCTCCTGCGAGTGGCAGGTGGCTACGTCTCAGGCGTGGAGGCCAGGAAGAGTGGTGCAGGGGCAGAAGCGGATAGGGTTTAGGGTTTAGGGTTTAGGGTTCAGGAGCCACTCTTCCGGTGAGACTTAGGGGTCAGGAGGACGTAAATGCAGATTGGGGTTAAGACCTCAGGACTAGATCGTCAAGTCTATCTGCCCCAAATGACTCAGGACATCGACACCGAAGCGCTGATGGATCCCGTGGTCCTGCCCGACATGGGAATCTGGCATCCGCACCACGCCTGAAACTGGCACTTAGCCACTGCAAAGAGGGCTACGAAAGCTCTTTCATCAGCCTTCATAGCATGCTAGGGTTCAAGCCTGGTGCAAGTTTTGTAGTGTGCCCTTGGCACTCCGATCGGGAATTGGCGTGGCTTGTTGTTGTGCCTACTTGGCTGTCGAATGGTTGTTGCTTCCTTCAACATGCAAAGGTCAGCAACGCGCTAAAACCTCACTCCCCATTCAAGACTTGGCCCCCGTTTCGCTCCTTTCTTCCTGAGGCTTGCCCCGCAGATCTTCGATAGCATGAGTGAGTACAAGGAGTGGGGCTTCCTTCTCCCGTGGCTCAGGGCTGTCGAGAGAGGTACATAAACGATGTTGTGTCAGACATGAGGCCCGGCGAACGGGATGCGTTTTTTTAAGAGTCCGAGATGGGCAGTTTGACGAGGCAAAGACAGCCCTCGTGAATTCAGATATGTTGTGGAGATACAGCACCTTGCACCAGATTTTCTTTGATTCTGGCCAAAACAACCTTGAGATACATCATTGTAAGGTCGACCGTGCAAACCAAGGAAGAGGTTTGGGAGGATTGTTGTTGGAGGCGGTGACGGCCAACGTCGGGATCGACAAAAGCATCACAAGCTTCACAGTAAAACTCGTCGTCTTGGAAACGAATGCAACGGCCAGGAAATGCTATGAAAAGGCTGGTATGAAGGAGTATGGCCGCGGTGATTTCGCAGTTCCACCGACTCACCCCCAGCAACTTTATGAATCGCACTGGTTTGGAGTTCTCTGTATGCCAAATGCAGGTTTGGTCCAGGTCGCGAGCACGCGAGCCTAACTCCCAACGAAGATAGCCGAGAGCACTGCGACCCCAGAAGCATTTAGTCGCCCAAAAAACCAGCATAGCACGAAAACAGCTCCGCGATGCAAGCCATAAGCCGAAATCCCGATTCATCTTGAATACATGTTAGGAGCGCCCAGATTTCTGAATGTCGCTTGCAAACGTTTCTTATTCGGTCAGAGTTTAGAGCTTTGGGTTCCCAGGGTTTCTCCGAGAGCAGCTAGTTTTTGTGGCAAAGCTGCAATCAGTTGGCAAATTCAATTTTTTTGCACGAATAATGGTGCGTGGTTCGGGAAGGATTTCTTAATCGCCAAGCAACAAAGAAGATCGTAGGTCCCAGCTTGATATGTTGATCATCAAAGTTGTCTCAGGCAGCTGCCATTTTGTCGTCGTCATCATAATGATGATGTTCACAGTCAGTATGGTCAATGTCCATTGTTGGTAATAGCAAGAGTCATTGAATCACGATACCCTTGGAGGAGTGGTATGACAACGTTCACTGCCCTGCTGCCGGCATTCTCCCAAACGCGCCAACCATCGGACTTGCTGCTCGAACTAAGGGAGATCGGTAGCCAGATTTGCAAATTGGCTGACCCATCCCATGGACCAAGGCATCACGAGCCAGAGCTCTGGAGAACCCTAAACCCGAAACGAGGATTTGGACAGAAGGGTGATAGATTTGAGGATTCGGCTTTTGTTTTAATGGTACGATTTCGGATCTCTTCGTTATTATGGGTCTTGCACCTTCCGCGGCTTTCTGATGTCTGTGAAATGATCCAGAATCCGAAATTTCGAAAAGATTACTTCCAACTGCAAGCACGGTCGAAGACAGGGGTGATGAAAGAAGGCGGTTCATGCTACCAAGGGTCAACTCATGTAGGGGCCTAAATAAAACCTATACTCTTCTGGGGGTTATATTTATAGCATAATATACCCCCAAACCCTGTTCTATTTTTTGAGGCCCCTACATCATGTGTTTTCGGTTAAGTTGCCGTCCTCTTTCAGCTGAAGCTTGTGATCATTTCGCAACGAAAGCTGCCAGAGGAGCTTTCAAGACGTCAAGAGTCGGGTTTAGGGTTTAGGTAGCTCCGTCCTAAAAGTATCGGAGGACCTTCGATGCGATAACTCCCCTTATCTCCCAAGCTGCAACGGGATTCAACTGCTTCCTGCAAAGGTCTTGCAGAAGTCGCACATTGCTACCAAGGATGACGGCCACTATGCTGCTCGACCACAAGCCATTATTTAATTCGTTTATTAGCTTTTTGTATGTGTATCCTTTTATTTATGTTCTTTGTCCGCACATCCGTATATATATGTATATATACATATATATATATATATCTTTTGTAAACCGCTCAAGACTCTCTGAGGTGGGCGTTGTGCAGGAACTGGAGCGCCGCGGTGCCAGGGTCGCCTGCACCTACACCGGTGGCCTGGACTTCTCCGTGCCGGTGCAGGAAATCAGGGTGGGATGGGATTTGAGGTGCCGTTTGGTGCTTTAGAGTCTGGGGTTTTGGATATTTGGGGCTTGAATCGGGTTTCAAGGTCTTGGGTTTTTAGGGTGTAAGGGTATAAGGTTAACGGTTTTAGGATTCCTTGTAAGCAGTAATGAGCAGACTGTGCTAACTGTCGCTGGAACGCCAGGAGTATTTGGCCGGACCCACCGGTGAGGGCATGGTGGATGCCCTGGTGAACCTGTATCTTGGCTTCTGAAGATGCAGGTCGTTGTCATGCGCTACGGTTTAAGGTGAAGGATCAGGCCGATTGACACTGGAACTGGAATGAAAGCACAGACTTTAACGAGGACTGGTTTCTCCTTGGTGGGTGGGCCCGCATCCCAAGATGCCAAGAAGGCGAAGGAGGTGCTGCCGGGCGGTTTGAGCCATTTGAGATTTTAAAGTTCATGAGTTTGATGCGACACTTTCTTTGTTGACTTGGGGGTTGAAGCCTTGAGATCTTCGTGACGAGGTTTCACAGTGCTTGCACGGCATCAAAGCTCGCAAGTGAATGATGTTTTGAGCGTGCCAGTGCAGAAGGGGGTTTCGGCAACCAGACGAGGTGATGCCCGAATTTATGCGGACAGCAGAAGCAGAAACAGTGATCGAGGATCAGACCCTGTTGCCAGCCACAGTGTTCTCTTGCCAGGTCCTCATGAAGCTCAACCGACCCTACTTGGTCAGCGTTCCGCTGGTGTTCCAGTCTTTCACGGACACTCTGCTGTCCTTACAGGGTTTAGGGCTTGGGGCTTACGCCTAAATTGAAACTCTCACCCCAAGCACCGAAGCACCCCCCCTCCCGAGCCGTCTTCAGCTTGGCAAGCCAATCGCCGCGGCTTCGTTGCAAAGCCCTTGGATCGAACACGCAGCCCCCAACCCAATCAAGAAATCAAACCGCCAAGTATGATGTCCACTATACAGCATGAGAAACGATTCAGCCCCGAAGAAGGACAAGAGCAAGATCGTAATACTGGTAGTCGTACTGGTTCGGATACTAAGAAGGCTAGGTGAAACAGAAGCACGAATAGCGAATACGGACCTCTTCAGAATTCATGATGCAATTGCTACAGTAACGAGAATGCAAAGAGCAATGATTGGTACTAAGCCGATACACTGAGCCATGCTAAATGCTAGCAGACAGTAATCACCAGGAACGCCCCAAGCGGCATGGCACTAAGACTCTCCCGAACCTGTGTGAAACGGCAAAGGGTGGAGATCCTCACAGACGTGTTCGGTTTCGGTGGTAAGGGATCCTCCTTCGGAGCTATACTGAGCCCCCTATATCTTCAGAAACGCAAGAACCCCCTGAGCGGGCCTTGCAGATTCCGGGGCGCACGTATAGCTTTCCCTTTTGTGTCTCATGAAGGTCGGCCTACCCCGAAAGAGACTAGAGCGGTCTTCCTTTCGGATCTGCTCTTCTTACATCTTGCTGAAGGTTGAGGGGGTTCTCACCGGAACCCTAAACCCTCATCCCGAAGCCCTATAAATCTTAAGCCTGGGCGGGTGGGAAAAAGAGCCCTAAACCCGAGGCCCTGAACACCAAACGCCCCAAGGCCCTAAACCCTTGGAGGAATGGCAGAACAGCCAGCTTGGCCTTCACCCGGTGCAGGTTGCTCTTCAGGCCGGCCTCTAATAGATGTTACTGTTATAGTTATTAGTATTGTTGTTGTTGTTGTTGTTGTTGTTGTTGTTGTTGTTGTTGTTGTTATCATTCTGAATGTATGATCATTCTGAATGTTATTATTATTGTTACTGTTATCAGCATTACCATAAGGATTACTAGTTATGGGTTGCTATAAGGATTTAGTACAGGGCCTGAATATTATTCCTGAGGGTGTCGGAACACATTTCCACCACAAGGTTCACCAAAACTATGCCAATCATCAAGGAACCTGCATGGCCAGCAGCGGTTCAGGGGGCTTACCCTTGTCCCCGAACCCTGCCTAGACGGCAAAAGGGTCGTTCAAGAAAGTCGTTCAACAAAAGAGAACCCTGCAGCCTGAACCAAAAACCCTGAAACCCTCAACCGTATACCAAAACCCTGAACCCTAGATAATCCTGTACCCTGAACCCTAAATAATCCTATACCTAAACCCTGAACCCTAAATAACCCTATACCTAAAACCTGAACCCTAAACCCGGAACCCCGAACCCCCTTTCTTCCGGGGCTCAGGGATGCTTGTTTTCGCCTTGGGGCTTGCAGCTTAAGCTTCGCAATTTGTGCACTTCCGATAGAAGTTTGTGGGGGTTTGGGGGTTTGGGGTTTAGGGGTTTAGAGTGTAGTTTAGGTTTTAGGGTGTAGTTTAGTCAGGGTTAGGGTAAAGTTCAGGGTTTATGGTTTTAGAACACTTTCAAAACTCCCGGGCTTACTATCGGTGTTACTGAGCGGGTTGCACTACAAGGCTTAGGGGGTTTAGGGTTGGGGTTTGGATGGGGAGGGTCTTCTAAGGATGTGCGCGTGCACAAAGACTGTCGCGCATGGCCTGCTTTGTTCGTGAATGCAACCTTGACATACCTTGACCAAGCGGGTGGCTGATGCGCTTCTTCGTTCCTCATCAAACATCACGAGAACCCAGAGGGTGACATCCACAGATGCAGAAGATTAGAGCCTCAAAGCCTCCAGTGTACAGATACATGAACCAGGGGCTTCCAGCATCATACATAAACACGTCCATGCACACGTAGTGCACGTGTGTGCGTGTGTGTGTGTGGGGTTGTGTGTGTGTGTGCGCGTGCGCGCATGTGTGTTTGTGTGTGTGTGTGCGCGTATAATCATACATAAGCGCGGCCTACCAGCCCAGAAATCTCGCTGAAGGTCTCCCTGCCCGAGATTGATGGTGCCATCGAGCCGCTGATCTTCTCTGGGCGCGACGGCACCAGCGGCCGCTCCATTCCAATGCAGGCAATCGTGCACGGAGCAGTGGGTATTGGTGCGAGTACAAGCACGTATGCAGTAGTACTTTCACTTCTCCTCCTCCTCCTCCTTCTACCCGTCCTCCTCCTCCTACTACTACTACGACTACAACTGCTGCTTCTACTTTTGCTGCTGCTGCTGCTGCTGCTGCTGCAACGCTTCTACTGCTGCTTGCCACGACGACAACTAGTACTTTCACTGCTACTGCCGCTAGTTCTTATTACTACTACTACTGCTACTATTATTACTACTACTACTACTACTACTACTACTACTACTACTACTCTGTGGTAGCAGTAGCAAATAAGCAGCAACGGCAGCAGCGTCGAGATTCAATTTTTTCGGGTGTACTGTAGAGTGGTCAACAGAAGTTCTTTCTGCCTCGACCTGTGCCGGTGCCACCCTGAGTTTTAAGTTCACCCGCATCTCATGTGTATGCAAAAATTCCTGGTAAATGTCCATTCGTTTGTTCGCGTTTGAGTGGAAAGATAGGGGACGGGTGATGCGATATGAACTTCAAAGCATCGAAGGGGGTCATTCAGAGAATTCTTCGCTAAGCTCCATGCATGCTGTCTTGCGCGACTCCGACGCAGGACCGCATCGGTGCGGTGGCGACCCGAGCAATGAATTGGGCAAACCTGCGTCGGTTCCCCAGGATTGCTGCTGCTACACCTACCTCTGGCGTTGCGGTTGCCGTTGCTGTTGCCCCGCCGGCGCCGCTGCTGCTGCTGCTGGTACTGCTTCTAGTACGACTCGCACAGCTACCCACCGCTTCCGCTACCACCACCAATACCACGACCGACTTACTGATGCTGCCATCTTTACTCCTGCTATTTCCGCTATTGCAGTAAAGTGCGTACAGGTGTGAAGGCAGCATCAACGCTAACATCTGTCGCCTTATAGTCATCATCACTTGAAAGTTTGATCGTGGCCAGTCACTGCTCAATGCTTGCCAGCACGAGGACAGCATGTAGGCGGATACACGAGAACCACTGCGATATCGTCTCGCGGGTGTTCCGTTGCTGGGAACATTCACTTCTAGGCATCTGATTCTACTTAGTTTGCTGGAGAGGCGCTCGTTGAGCAACGGCACTAACTTCCAGATCCTGTCTTCTAACCCGCACCAAGGCAAGAAGACCAATGCGGAGAAGAAGTTGAGCATTTGTGTCTTCCAGTTGCTCGGCTTTGGAGTCTGAGGGTTCGGCCTGGCATAAAGCCAAGGTGGGTCTTGCCGAGGGTCCTTTTCAAACGTAGATGCAGTCATGCGGATCATCGTAGACGACAGCCTTCAAAACGACTGGAACAGAGTACAATAGTAACAGCATGCGATACCATGCGATTACTCTTCTAGTGCTGTACTAACTATGACTATACTGTTCCATACTGTTACTCTACTATTGCTAGTAAATGACTACTATACTATTACTATACTGTCACTATACTATTACTATAACGTTACGACACTATGACTATAATATTGCAGTACACTGTAATATTACTATCATATTACTGTAACATTACTATAATACGACTATAGCATTATAACCCTAAGCCCTAAACCCTAGACCCGAACCCTAAACCCGCACTGCAAACAAAAAACCCATACTGTAATATATCAGCAGGACATGTCGGAGCCTGGCAGCGAGACACCGAGCACGGCCCAGCGTGGCTCTCCCCAGGTTCCCCCCGGACAAGGGCAACGTTGGCACTGCTGCGTACCTGGATGTCTTCGGCAGCATCTACGCAGTGATGGGAGAGCACTTTGGCTGCAAAAAGATACGGGCTTTAACAAGTACCTATACTATTTTTTGGGGTTCCTTATTATAACTATAGTACCTATACTATTTTGGGGGTTCCTTATTATAACTGTAGTATAATGCAACCCCCGAAACCCTATTCTCATTAGTAAGGCCCCTAGATTACGGTGACCCTTATTATAACTATAGTATAATGGGCCCCGAAACCCTATCGCTTTGGCTGGAAACGGAACACCAGGGAGGCGGAGGACTAGTTTTGTTCGTGTCTTCGGATGGGGCACGTATAATTTAGGGTTTAGGGTTTAGGTGATTAGATTGCTTCTAAGATCTTGTAGCAGCTGCGAAAGTGGCCGTTGATGGTTTCGCCGTAGACAGATATGAAGTTTCTTGCGGAATGTATGGAGTGAATGACCTGCCGAGGTTGAAGAAGCAGGGCTACACCATTGAGGACCCGGCAATGGCCGCCTAAAGCAAGGATGCACACTCGCGTGAGTCCAGCTAGGCAGTCAATGTTCGACACATGAACATCTCTCGCGCATGCATGAGCTCGAAGCTCCGTGCATTCTGCGCCTCATGGAAGGACATGCCGGAAAACGCAGAGGGTCTGCAGAAGTCCATTCTGGAGGACAGACTTGGCAGCAATTGCTATGACGGGCGCCGGGTAGTTGCGACCCGTTGTGATGGTCATTCGTGTGCTGAGTGCTCTCCATTGTGGTGGCAGGACCCAGAGGCAGCAATGTCCATGTCGGACTTGAATGTCGCCTACCGCATGAGCGTGGACGAATACGAGGAGCTGTTTGACCCTGCCGGCCGTTGCACGGATTCAAGCAGCGAGGGAGGTGAGCAAGAAGAAGGCATCATCGTAAACATAGGCATCAAATTCACCATCACCATCCATCGTCTGCATCATCAGTATCATCACCATACTGACCGTCACATACTTAGTACACTCTTGGTTCTTGGAGGTTCAGTCCTGGTGAGGAAAGCACAGGAAGGCAGCGCATGCATGCACTTGCTTGTGATGGAAATGCGCGTGAGAACATTTGGACTCAAGAATGTTTGTTGTGTCAGACATGGCACTGGACGAACGAGATGCACTGTTTTCAAAGGGCGAGATGGGGAGTTTGACGAGGCAAAGACAGCGCTCGTCAACTCCGACATGTCGTGGCGATACAGCGCCTTCAAGCAGAGCTTCTTATTTTTCATCGCCGCTCGAACTCGTCGTGGCTCAGAGCCATGCGAGACGATGCATTCGCATGGGTGTTGATCTCAACCCCTCTCTTCTATGCAGCAGCACCAGGCAACATCACAATGGTGAGATTCCTTCTGAACCATGGCTTTGAAATTAAGTTCACGGATCAATACTGCATTGTCTATGCAATTCGAAGCAAGCATTTTGAAATTGTGAGATTGCTCATAGAGCACGGGGCCAACATTGATGCGAAGTCCCATTTGGGGGTGACCCCACGAAGGCTTTTGCGCGACCTCGCCGAAGAGCTTCTCAACTTAGGCGCCTATGTCGTTTGCCAACGCGCCAGTGGATGTAGCAACCTTCGGCGGTCGGAAAGAGAGTTCGCAGGGGACCACGCGCATCTGCATGCAAGGCTGCCGCGGTACAAAGGCGTAGAGCCCGAAGCTTCCGGATAATTGGTGAACGTGCCCCTAAAAGCTGGCCAAGCACGGATGGAGGGCATTGAACAACGGGCAAACGGCTTGCATCCTTCTTCCTTCACATTGGCACCATGTCCAAAGAGACAAAGAGCATCGCCGGGTATGTTTACTCGACATTCGATTCTGAGAGAAACAACCTGACAGTAAACGCTTGTAAGGTTGACCATGCACACCAAGGAAGAGGTTTGGGAGGACTGCTGTTGGAGGCGCCGGAGGCCAACGTCGGGATCGACAAAGGCATCGCAAACTTCACAGCAAAACTCGCCGTGTCGGAAACGAATGCGGCGGCCAGGAAATGCTATGAACAGGCTGGTTTCAAGGAGTATGGCCCCAGTGACTCTTCATTTCCTCCTGCATGCCTACAGAAACTCAAATAGCTGTGCATGTCAAAGACAGTTGCAGGTTTCAGTGTTTCACATGACTGAAGCAGCGATCTTTGAAAACAAGGGATAGGAATGACGGTGTGCAGGAATATCGTCCGGTGTACTCGCACGCACAAGCAGGTATGACAGCAGTTACACTGGTGCAAGTACTTGCCGCGTAGTTGAGATTGTTCTTGCCGATACGCCGATACGTAAGCAACCCAGAGCTGCAAGTGGCAATGGCAAGGAGCTCTGCCCCTTCGCCCATGACCTGCGCGAGCCGCTTGGACATGAATCCATACCTTAATGGACACCGGTGATACCCAATAAGCCAATAAGTGTCGATTGTCGTTGGCACGATATCCGATTGGGGCGCCGGTGCTGCTAACTGCGATTGTGACAATGATCAGGATTTCGGCGTCACTTGCTAAGGTTCCGGTGAATAATAAGCCAGCTCGTCGATGCAGCATAGCAGAGCGATGAGTTCTTTCCATTATCGACCCACATCGTTATTTGTCACTATTTCCCGCTTCCCATGCTCCGAGGAACTGGGGCCCTCCGCCTGGAGAGCTGAACACCGACGGTCGCGACATGCTGATTTACGGTACCTCGGAGTCAGCGCAATTGAAGCTCGGAGACCCGGGGCTTCCAAGCTCGGGTGCGTTTCCGGTTGGTGCAACTCAATTCACGCCTTGAGCTCAATACAACTTTTGGGTGCATGTAATGTAGCGCATCCACCGCCACATTTACGTTCATGCCTTGGCCTTGTGGAGAACGTGGCTTGTCAGAGTCGCTTTGAGGCAAGCATTTCGGAAATATCTTCCTCGGTGTGCAGCCTACCTTCGGCTACGAGGGTGACCCCATGAGGCTGGGGGAGCGAAGTCTTTTTTCTGCAGCCGCCAGCCAAAACATGTAGGCTTGACGAATCTGCAGGTTGCTCTTCGCCAAGTCCGCGTCTCCTCATCATGGTTTCGCTGCCTTCTACACGTACTTGGAGTTCATCTTCAAGGCCTGCACAGCATTGCGCAGCCTCATGTTGCAGGGATTTTCGAAAACACAGCGTCCAAGGCAGATGCCCTGCTCCACTTCGGAACCCACGGATCTCTGGAGTTCATGCCCGGCAAGCAGGTCGGCATGTCAGGCCGGATCTTCTCTATGATATAATAGACCTCATAATATAATAGACAGTGATGTGCTATTAATTATACATGTTATAATCGTCACAAGCCATTTCGTGCATCCTCAGCAAACCGCAGGAAGCTGTTATCCTGACCGCCTGATCTCCGTGTTGCCCAACCTGTACTACTACGCAGCAGCTTGGCCACAAAGACGTCTTCTGCTGTGTTATAGAATCCAGGATTATGTTCAGGGGTTCCTTAAGAGGGTCTGTAAGGAGAATTATAAGGGTTCGGAAGTTTAGTGCTTCTGTCAGGAATATGATCTCCGAGCTTCCGCTGCAGCTGATTAGTCTGTGTCATGAGGTCTTTTAGGCATCCGAAGCTTTTTGTGAGGAGGACCCCGTTAGGGTTTCTCGCGCAGTTTGGCCCTCATTGGGTTTCCACGTGCTTAACAGTTGCAACGAGACGATGGGTTAGCATGCCGAAAGTCTGAACCCTGAACCGAATCTCAGTTGATCAAGCCCCAAACCTTACACCGGGCTTGTGCAGATCAGGTGCGGGTTCTCTACAGTGCGTACGATGGATCCTAAAGTTCAATTCCACCCAAAATCCGAAACCCGAAAGGATGTTTTGATCGACCTGCCCAACACCAAGGCGAACAACCCGTCGGAAGCCACCATTGCCAAGCGACGATCCTATGCGTCCACCTCTCAGTTGACGAGGGCAGGCTCGGTCACTACAGTTCCAGAGGCTGCCAGAGCTCCTGCCACGGCTGATACATGACTACCAACGCTCAATCCATGGTAACCATCAAAAAGATCATCACCATCGTCATCAACCGTCATCAACATCATCATCATCATCATCAGTCATCATCACCAACCATCATCATCATCACCACCATCATCTTCATCATCAGTCATCATCATCATCACCATCGTCACCTTCGTCATTATGAGCACCATCATCGTCGCGAAGACACCTGAGAGCAAAGAACTGTCGGCCCGGGCTTCGGCCTGGGGCTCAGGTAAAAAAAGCCCCCCAAAACCCCAATAGGGTTTAGGGTTTAGGGTTTAGGGCAAAAAAAGCCCTAAACCCCAAACGATTCTGTATCCGGAGACTCGGGGGATCTCGGGGGTAATGTAGGGGCCTTAAGGTTCCTTAAAGGGTTCTATAAGGGCTACTATCAGGGTTTAGGGTTTTGGGGCCTTAATACTTAGAAGGGATTTGGGCGCACGCCTTGGTAGCCAAGGTCCCGGCGGCTTAACCAGTCTTTCTGTGACCCTAGCGGCGAGTGGAAAAGGTAGGGCCTTAAACAGGAAGGAACCGTCAGGTCCACCATCTCCTACTTGACCCCTCCGGCGGAGAATGCCGGCCTCTACAAGGCCTTGCCTTGGGGATCCAAGGGGGCCCCGAAATTTGAGTTGGGGTTCGGGGGTTATAAGGGATTTTGGTACAAAAATATATACACGAAAAAGATTAAGTCTACGAAAGAGCCCTTAGGAGTAGTACTATCAGTTATTCAGGCTCTTGTGTATGACTTGGGGGGAGCCAGAGACTAGCTGACTCTACATAGGCACTGCTGGCTGAAACTACACAGGCTTGAGTGCCTTTGGGGCTGACTTGAGGGTTTAGCCGATAAACAATCCCAGGCCGCGGTGACATTGACAGGCGAGTTCAGCTTCAATCGTTCCTTCGTGCCAAACCACGATCACGAAGAGCTTACAGAAAGTAATCCCCCCAAAAGTAAACAATCTGTGCAGTCCGGCCTGACCCGCACGGCCCCATCATTGCTCCAGTACCCTGGTATGGTCGTCATCGTGCCACTTCAATCGTACCCCACCCCCTGAGCCGTAATACATACCTAAACCCTAACCCTTGAACCCCGAAGCCAAACCCCCAAAGCACTGCTTAGCCTCAGCGCCTCTCCGTTTGGGCAGTTCCCTACATCAGGATCCCTTTTAGGGTCCTTTTTATAAGGGCGCCGTACTATATCGGGGACCTAGAAAGGGACCCTAAGTTAGAGAACTACCTAACTCCAGATCCCAAGCCCTAAAAACCCTAAACCCTAAACCTTAAACCCCAAAAACCAAAAGCCAAATTTAGAGAACTACCCATTTGCAGGGCCTCAAAGAGCTGAGCGAGCTGGTGAAGTCCTACCAGGGACTCAGGGAGAACGAGCAGCGAGGCCCAGCGCTGTTTTTTTGCGGGGTTTAGGGTCTAATTAGGGCTTAGGGTTAGGGCTTAGGGTTTAGGTCTTAGGGTTTAGGGCTTTAGGGTTTAGGGTTTAGGGTCGAATGTAGGGGCCTTAATAGCTAGAATAGGGTTTTGGGGTTCCTTACTATAATAGTGATAGCAGAATATACCCACAAAGTCCTTTTTTTAACTATGAAGGCCCCTATGCCAGGGTTTAGGGTCTAATGTAGGGGGCTTAATAATTAGAATAGGGTTTGGGGTATATTATACTAAAGGTATAATAAGGAACCCTCAAAACCCTCGTCCAATTATTAAAGCCCCTAAATTCGGGTTCAGGGTTTAGGGTTTGGGATGGTGAGGGCTGAAAGATAATAAAGGCCGCTTGCAAGTTAGATGAAGGCTTTGGGTTCAGGATTTAGGGTTGGGGTATACTAGACGAGAAGTATATCAGAACTACAAGGGATATGATATTTATATGACTACACATGCAGCCGCTGAATTTGGGTGTAGGGTTTGTGGTATGGATTTGTTGCAGGTGCCTCGATTGTCAACAGCATCGTGGCCACTGCACGTCAGTGCAACTTGGACAAGGACATTGACGAGCTTCTAGGCAGCATTTTCTGCCCCACTGCGCCTCCGGCAGATAAGCAGAGGCCTAAACCCGTAGCTCCGCAGAAAGAGGCCGATCAACAACAACAAAACCATAGCTCTGGCAATTGTTGCAGGTTGCACAAATGCGAAGTTGGTGCAGGAATCTAGAGAGCACAGCGTGGTGAAGCAGGAAGGGCTGAGCACGTTGCGAGAAGTCAACGTGAAGCCCAGCATAGAAAGAGTCTAACAGAACGGTTTTTTATAATTACGAATAGCATCCCTCCAGTCACGATATCTTAATCTAATTGTAATGGTACAAAACCCTAAACTCGAATTCCAATTACAGTATTAGGTAGCTTGGTGAGTTCAGGCCCCCAATGCGATAAACCTAAGACCCGAAGCTCGAAGTTGAAGCAAGAGGGTGCCAAGCCTGGCACGCATCAAAGTCGTCACGATCGAAAGCCCTAAACTCCTCAAAAACCCTACACCCTACATCCCCAAACACCCTAAACCCCCAAACCCTAAACCGCAAACCCCAAACCCCAAACCCAACCCCAAACCAGTAAACCCTATACCCCCGAACCCTAAACCCCTAAAAGCCTTAACAACTCGAAGCCCCCCTAAACCCCCGAACCCTAAACCCCGAAGCCCTCAACAACTCGAAGCCAGGCTTCCCTCCGAAGAGGAGGACATGGCCAAGGTATCCATTGACGAGCGCGACGCCGTCCCGTGGCTTCTTTTCAGGGGTTGGGGGTTTAGGGTAGTCTAGTTTAAGGTTTGGGGTTTAGAGTAGTCTAGTTTAGGGTTTGGGGTTTAGGGCTATTTTTCGGGGTTGGGGTTGAGGGTAGTCTAGTTTGGGGTTTGGGGTCCAGGGTTTAGGGTAATTGGGGGTGGTCCTAGTGCTTATGACCTACTTCGTAAGTCCCCTAAGCCTTCAAGACAGGATCAGGCCAAGGAGAGCTTGTGGCCCTTTGCAACACAGACACGCCTGGAGGGTGCGGCCGAGCTCTAGAGTTCGCCATTAGTATTAGTACTATTTACTAGTTTTTTTTTATTATTGTCATTATTATTAAGTCTTATTATTATTATTATTAAGAATTATGATTATCATTCTTATTATTATTGTTATTACTACTATTATTGTTACTCTTGTTCCTGATATTACTATTACCTAAGTAGTTCCTCTTGGCTCGCATGGCCGAAGCTTCGGGCCAAGGCCCAAGGGCTCAGAATTCGGCGAACGAGGCCTAAGGTGGTTGGAAGTATGGGCCCCTAATATGGACCCTTAGGCCTTTCTAGGGACCCTTAAGGGTACATATGGGAGTTTCCGAAAAAGGGTGCATCTTATTTTGGGGCCCTTATGATAAGGATCCTACTATTTAGGGTACTATATTAGGGTCCCCTATTATCGGAAACCCCCATATAGGGTATATAGTAGGTACATAAGGATCCCAGCCTTAAGGGCCCATACTGGGGGGCCCATGGTTTCAACCTGAGATCAAGGTGGTTGGCAAGGTCTACCGGCTGCTCATGGAGATCGAGTCCCGAGCGCTGCCGATGGGTTTGCACCAGGCCCCCGTGTTCGGAATGCTTGGAGGACTCTAAAGTAGGGTACCCCCTTTTTTAGGGTCTTTTTCTATGTAAGGGTGCCGTACTACCTTGGGGAACCAAAAAAGGGGCCCGAATTTAGAGAACTACCCATCTGCTCTGAAACGGCGATGACCCTCAAACCTCCAACCGAAGCCTGCTCTAAGTTGCAACTGCCCCCCAGTTTTCCGGAGCATGGTCGAGGCACAGCTCTTGTTTCATCCGCTCTGCTTCCCCGGACGGGAACAACTAACAGTCACGAAGTCGTCGCTACTGGTAGCGGTAAACAGCACAGTCACGTGCTCTCGAATAGCATGAAAAGGCAACACCAGACTTGGAACAAGGAGTCGTAGTAGCAGCCGGCAGCGGCAAGTGCAGAAGTCGCAGTAGCTGTAGTAAGGGGGCCGCCCTGTCACAAACAAAGCCAAATCGACCAAGTACACCACGTACTGCAAGCACATTGAGGCCGGGATTAAGAATAGGCTGGTTTGCAAAAGCCGGGTCTCAACGCTGTTGCCACCTACACAACTTAGACCGATGCACGACGACCAATCATGATCATGTTAATGCTGACTGCTACAACCAGTATTGTTTGTTATCATCGACAACACTCCATCGTAGCTCACTATGCGCGCTGGCCCACTACTGTAGACTGTTGAGAAGGCCCATGTTACTAGAAGAGCTCGCAGGTCGGCGTGCCGCCCACTGCAGAAGAGAGCATTGCCACGTCACTTCGGCTCAGATGCTTAGGGCTGCAGGGGTTTCTAGGGTTTAGGGTTTTCGGGAGTTGTTAGGGTGATGCATTTTAGCTGCAGGTTTAGGTTGCCTTGGGTGGCAGTCGAAGTCTGAAGAAGCCTTGCCAATCCGGGTAACGAAGGGGCCTAAATAAATTTTGGAAGTTCCTTATTATTTTCATATTCATGGTACAATATAACCCCAAGCCTGATTCTAAGTATTATTAAGGCCCCTATATTCGATCTGGCCGATGAATGTATAGACGCATTGGCCTTGTCACCCTGGCCAAAGCAAACACGTGTGACAACGAGGCTTGTTAACATTGCGCAGCTGGACCGCCCTGCGAGGGGCTCAGATGCAGACTGACACTGGAGCGGCGTGATTGCTATGGATACGGCTGCAGCCGATGAAGGTGGTCCCAAATTGCACTCATCGTTTCTATAGCCCAAGCGCTCTTTGGTCAAGCATTCGCGCTGGCATGAAGCTGCCTTTATCCTAGGAGATGAGCATCAAGAGCTTGCCCCGTCTCCTTGCAGAGTGCAGAGGCAAAGACATCGAGGTGCCCCGAGCTTCTGGTAGGAAGTGCTTCTTTGCTAGCCCAATGCCAAGCATTTCGGGCTCTGGGTCCAGCTCATATGGGACGTAGTGTAGAAGCGTAGAAAAGTATCCTGCATCGAAACTACATTCATGCGAACGCAACGCCCATCAAGATTCACCCTAATCCCTTATCGAACCCTAACCCGCATTGAACCCTGAGCCCTACAACCCTAAACCCTAAACCCGAACCCTAAACCCTAAACCCTAAACCCTAAACCCAACCCTACACCCCTAAGAAGCACTAAACCCCCATTGAACCCCCACGGAAATCCTAAAAGGTCAGACTCTCGAACTTGAAGCCCGCGCGAGGCGGTCTACAAGGGCAACAACGAGGGAGTCCTCGAGGCTTCCCTGCCTTGCCGAAGCCCGCAAGTACTACTATCAGTGTTGTTATTGCAATAATAAGATTAATATTTTTCGTATTTGTCTTACTATGATTTTTATTACTAGACTATTCTTAGTATTTCTATTATTACTACTATTTGGTATAGAGGGCCTGAATAGCTCGTAAATTCCATGGTGCAGGGTTACTGATATTAAGTTACGGTATGAAGGCTATTATTTAAGGTTACTTACACTGAATTATGATATACACCCAAGCACTGTTCTATTCTGCTTGTAGTTGTTAAGCACAGCTGTTCATCACGCCTGAGGTTCTGTTCGTGGCAACGTGAGTTTTGGTGTCTTTGTCTCGGGAAGGAGGTGCTGGGTGGGAAGGAGAAGAATCTAACGTCGAATCAGGGTCCCAGGATGAGGATCATAGTGATCTCGATCATGGTGTTAGTGGTGATGGTTTGGCTGGAGAGATGGTGAGTATTTTAAACAAAGAATGAGGAGCCGGCAACGGAGCGGAGCGGCAAATGACACCATGGTCAGTGCTGTGTAGGAAATGATGCCCGCGAGCTCCGTGAATCAGGCAACTTGTTGAATCTGATCCCTGAAACTTTTTAATAGGCTACTTGAATTGCTTTCCTGTTGCGTTTAGAGGTCGCCACGGCAGAGTGCCCGAGTTATCATAGGCACCTTTGACCTGTGAACTTGCCGATCGCTATCTTGAGCAGAAAGTCCCATTCTCATTATGTTGGTTCCTAGGACTCCCTGACCATCCTGACCATCCTACGTTCTTCAGTCGGATTGTCAGTCCTCGGGCGATAAAGCCGTAGTCTTAACAACGAAATCCCTCTGGGCAGCTCCGACGAGCAACTCGAAACCCGAAGAAATTCAACTTCGCTGTGTTTCGGGAAGTCTGTGGAATGTCAGAGTGCCCCAAGAGCCAGCATCCCTTCAAGGCAATTCCCGACTAAATGTGGATGTTGTCCTTCGCAGGATGTGGCCCTTGTCCAGGAGGCCCTGGACTTTTGTGCCTTTGAGGGTGGTCTGAGCTGTTTCGACTTGTAGCTTCTGCGTTGCGGTGGGCCTCTTGAGAACCGGAGGAGTCACCCTGTTGCTGCTCTTTGTTTATGACGGTGCCCTGCTGTCCAGATCACCCTGGCGAGCCGCGCGGCCGTCGGGGCGCTGGTGAAGCAGTCCACGAACGCGGAGCCTTGCCCGGAAATACGGGTTGAGGGCTCATGGCTTGAAGTTGTACGACTTTGGTTTAGCCTTGGAATTCAGCGACCAACGTGGAGAGAAAAGCCTAGGGCAGGTTAAAGACTCAGGGGACATGTCACGATGCCACAGCTTTGAGTCGCACAATTCAACCTTCACTTACGCCAGGAGGGACGCGTCGAGGAGGTGAACCCCTTCTTGCAGGAGCTTCAGCCCATCTGGGTGATGGAATGGTTCACAGTAGCGTCATGGGCAAGCAGAAGAGCTGCCACTGAAAGCCCCAAAAATGCAAAAACCCTGAACCCAAAGGCCCTGAACCCTGAACTTTCCCCACAACCCTGAACCCAAAAGCCCTGAACCCTAAAGCTTTCCCCACGGTTGGTGAGAGGACGTTTTCAACTTCTTTTCTGGCGGCTCTCCGTACAAGCAGGCCCTTGAGGAGGCCCAGAGCTTAGGATCGGAGCCCTAAATACTTTGCAAAGGGCTGGGCGGCCGATAATAGTATAGTCGAGTTATAAGGTAAAACATAGTTTTGTATCGTATCATATGGTATGGTATGGTTTAGTATAATATGTAATCAGTACAGTATAGTAAAGTAAAGTAGAGCAGAAGTATAGTATAGTTATTATAAGGAACCCTAGCAAAGATAAGTCTGACGCTTCGTCTCTATGACTCGGACCCAGAGACTCCAAAATCCCCGGATGTGCCGAGTCTAGCCCAAGATATGGGTAGTTCTCCAAATTGGGCTTTAGGTTTTTAGGGTTTAGGGTTTTTAGGGCTTGGGATCTGGAGTTAGGTAGTTCTCCAAATTAGAGTCCCGCTTTAGGTACCTTAAAACTCTGCTATCCCCGATCCTCATGATAGACCTGAAGGGCCTTGAAGCTCACGATCTTAGCTATGACTATGGCTTGTGACTACGTCCAGCTTTTAGGGCAGCTTCTGGGTTTTTTGCAGTGTTGGACTTCGCGAACTCTGTATAAAGCAGTGGATGCCTAGCTGACACCGAAATCTTTCGATAACGATGCCGATGTCCAGATCATCAGTACTTGCTCGTATTCCTTGTGCATGTTCTACTCGCCATCGGCCTTATACTTCTGGTTTTGAAGAACAAGCTTGTTTTTTCTCACATATACGCCCCTAAATGTTCCGTATTCAATCAGCCATCTCTAGCTGCATACGCTCTGTGTATATAGATAGATATATATATATCTCTCTCTCTCTCTCTCTATCTATCTATCTATCTATCTATCTATCTGTCTATGTATCTATCTATCTACGTAGTATATAATATGCAGACACAGGCAGACATGCAAGTAGGCGTGTATAATATGAACATATTGATCTGACAGTGTGGCTTCGATGGCGTCAGCGATGACTACCTGAAGCCCCTCTTCGAGTGACCCAGAGCCATCCCGATGGTTCGGTTCGTTGGGGTTTAGGGCTTTAGGGCTTTAGGGCTTTAGGGTTTGAGGGTTTTAGGGTTTAGGGTCTTAGGTTTTAGGGTTTTAGGGTTTAGGGTTTTAGGGTTTGGGGTGTTAGGGTTTAGGGTTTTAGGGTTTTAGGGTTTAGGGTTTCAGGGTTTAGGGTTTCGGGTCTAGGGGTTGGTGGCAGGAACTCTAAATCCAACAAGGCTGCTTTGAGAGCATCGGAGTTCGAGACTAGGGCTTTTCTGAATGAAATGTAGGGGCCTTAATAGTTACCAACAGTATTTTGGGGTTTCCTTATTATAATTGTAGTATAATGGGACCCAAAACCCTATTCTAATTATTAAGGCCCCTATATTCGGTGCTGAGGATGTGCTTAGAGTTCAGACATTCTGTCTGGGTAGTCTTGAGGTTTCGAAGAGCCGCGTCGGACCTGGATGAGTCAGAGTTCGCAATAGTTATAACAATAAGAATGAAAACCGCACGGTGATCATTAAGGTTTGTACTATTAACTTAAACCCTAAACCCTAAACCCTAAGATGATCATTAAGATTTGTACTATTGTTACGTAGGCTTACGATTTTCCTCCAGGTACTTGCAGGCTTGCCTCGGCGAAGTCGTGCGCAACAACGAGGCCACGTTCAACCTCCGTGATTTTTGTGAGCCTCTACTACGGTTCATGATGGTACGTTATAACATAGTATCGTACATTGAAGTATTTTGTCAAGTATCACAATATATGCATCTTTCGGGACATGATTTCAGTGCAGTGAAGGCAAGCGGCTCATTCTTTGTTTGACGCGTTGTTCCTGAGACTGTAGGGTTTTATATAGAAGCCTAAATAATTACCTGTATTCTTCCTCAGGCTCCGTATTCTACTTATACTAATTCTTATACTAAAGGGGCCCAAAACCCTATTCTAATTATTAAGGCCCCTACACTAGGGAGTCTTGCGGACGGCAGGTCGGAAGCTTGATTAGTGCCCTCGACGGCAAGTTCATCGAGCCAGGCAGATGATTCGATCGACCACCTAGGATCTGCCACACTATATGAATGGATAGTCAGCATCAGATCTCGCTAGATGCGATCTTGTGAAGTCGTTTTGGCGCAGTGCTGCCAGAGCTGGCCAGCTGCTAAAGATATAATTGCCACACAATTGCAGGGTTCCTTCTTGTAATATTCGTATAATGTATGTGCACATATATATATATATATATGCATATATGTATATATATGTATATGTATATATGTGTATATGTATATGTATATATATATATACATATGTATATATATATATGTATATGTATACATACAATATCCCATTCATACATATATATATATATACATGTATATGTATACATACAATATCCCACGAATCTCTTCTAAAGTCCCGCTAAAGGCGAGTCCCCTCGCACGAAACAGGCCCTGGCGGTGACCCCATCCGCAATCCGGATGCTCCTCGGCTATTGGGTTTGGGGTTCCTTTAAAAGGGGTTCAATAAGGGCTACTATAGGGGTTTGGGGTTTAGGGTTTAGGGGCCTTAATGTTACTTGAGTGTTTGGGGGTATGCTGAGGCTTATATACGGGTTACTGCAATAAGCAGCACTACAAAAGTACCGGTGGGGTACTATAGCGCTACAAGCCGTATTCTGCGAGCACCACATAAGGGGTGGGGAGGGAGGGAAGGCTGGGGTTGGGGTTCTGGGATTGAGGATCCTTTTAGTTTCGTGTCCCCAAAAGTAGAAACTCCAGTGTGCAGCCTTTGATCCAATCATTTGGGCAGGTGCTCCCGACGGGCAAGAACATGCACGCCCTGGATCCGAACTCCATCCCAACGAAGGCAGGAATCAAGTGTGTATAGGGTCTTGAGGCGACCCCAAGGCACATGTGGGTCGTTCCACATGAGCCCCCTGTTGCTTAAAGCGTTCTTCTTTTGTGATTGTAAAGCCTGGTTTGATATTGTTCTTGAGGTTAGTAAGAAGAAGGCATCATCATATTAAACATAGGCATCAACTTCACCATCACCATCCATCGTCGGCATCATCAGTATCATCACCATTCTGACCGTCACACAAAACCAATGATATGTTAAGCTGTGTTGTCGCCGTATATTTTGTCAGATTGAATTATGTTGTATTATATTATACTATTTTCCTTTATTTTACACTATTTTATCTTGTGCTATTCATATCATGCAATATACTCTATCATGTCATAGTATATTCTTGTATACCATATTCTGTTTGCTTTCACACGCTGACCCTAAACCCCAGACCCTAATGGCCGAAACTTCGGAAGGCAGCCACTGACGTGGCCATGGTCGTGGTGGACCGCCTTTTGGAGTCGCTGACTGAGCAGCAGGCCTGGCGTAAGGGGGTGTTCAGGGGAAGCTAAGGGGAATACGAGGGTACTATAAGGTATCAGAGGAGGGATGGGCCATCACTGGAAGTTAGCTGAGACGCCTACATCCTGCGGTTCGTACGTTAACCCCGAGGTTCGACAGCTTGGGTCTTGGCAGTGATTGTGCTTTGAGGGTTTAGTGTTTTCTGGAAACAGTAGCAATTCATAGTTCTAGCATGTTCTAGCGCTAAGAGCGTGGTTCGCAGAGTTTGGCCTTGCGCTGTCGGGCACATAGCAGTTACAACGGGAGAGCAAGAAAGCCTGTTGGAAGGTTGACCCCCGCCTTAGACTGGAAACTCAACTACATCACATGCAAGTTGTTCTTGGTCGGAGTTCCGCTTTAGGGGTGTTTCTCCGCATCCGTTCATTGCAAAAATTGGAAGCACATATCGTACCCTAGAGAGAACCCTTGGGTGGAGCAAAACATGCTCTGGCGCGATGACTTTTAAGTTGGTGTTTCATTCGGATGACTAACCATTGGTCAGACTTCGCCCAGGATCTACCAATTCGGATAAGCAACGGAGAAGAACACTGATATATATATATATACATATATATATATATATCGACTTGAGCATCAGCCTTATTGGAACATTGTACACGCGAGCAATTGTGCATGTGCGTGCGAGAGCCTCGGGCGTAATCCAGGGAGAACGAAGGAAGAGCACGAGTGGTCCTTGATGTGAACAAGGTTCATCCTCCAAAATCTTACAACAGCTGGGACTAATTGCTGAGAAGAAGACGACGAAGGACTACTACCCCATTAATGAGCTATGTTTACCAACCTGCGTATCACTATACATATCATCGTGTTCGTGAGCATTCCGGTTTCATCAGTATAACCTTCATCGTCCTGCGTCATCAATGAGGGCGAGATGCCAGAGTCGATTGCCTTCACCCTTTGGGGCACCGACAATATCAAGACTTACGGCGAGTCCTTGGCGCAGGCCGGATCATTAGCCAGATCTTGGGAGGGGGGCGGATCTTGGCTTTATGTATCATCGAACAGATTATCCTAAGCTGACCGTTGGCGATGAAGCTGTGCAGTCTGTGCCCGGTATTGCCGGAATTCCATGTTGGGCGCAGCAAATACGGGTCCAAAGACCGGCTTCTCGGAAGGTGCTTGCGCTGGTCGGTGCGCGACCAGTTCCGGACTCCCTGGGGCGCGTGAACAAGGTTTGCATGGGGATGTTTCTTTTTGGGTGGGTTCGTTGGCTCTCACTGCTCCACTCGATTGCAGGCCGAAGTCAGCAGGCCTTCAGAAAACAGCGGAACTACAAATTCTGTCGTAGCTTGTGTGCCTCTGAGGGCGCTGGGGGATGCATCAGGTCGAGCTGATCCCTCTCGAAGAGCTGGGACGGCCGCGAGTCGATGCAGCTTTGATCGACTTTCCAGCAAAAATTTGGCCTGCTTTGATGCATCTCCGTTTCTTGCCAACTCGCATCTAGCCCCCGTTGCTCGCCAAGTCCCCACTGCATCTTGTTTTCCAGCATAGCCTCGGCATCCAGGGCCAGGGGGGGTATCACATCAGAGCTGAGGTGGTGTGCAATTGCTCGGGTGTCTTCCGTGATCTCTTCATCAATCAGATGAACCTGCTCGACCGTGCCATCAAGGCTGGAACTGTGCAGCGTTGTTTGTATCTATATACTATATACTATATACGATATACTATTTCCTATTTCCAATATACTATACTGTTGTGCTCTATATACTATATACTATATACTATATACCATATACCATATACTATACTGTTGTGCTTCGGACATCAGCAGGCGGCAGCGGAGGCGGACGAGCCCCCAGAGCAGAACTTTGTCCGCAAGCATGCGATGGAGCAGGCGGGAGTCAGCAGTGACGTTTGTATTAGCATGCCCTTTGACGAGAAGACCCGGATGAGTGAGCTTTTCAGCGTTCTCATTCTCGGTGCTGCTGATGCCAGGCGGAGGAGCTCAACATCTCTCTCAGACAGGCTCGAGCTTGAAGACCTGGTCGGTGCTTGTGCCTGTACGGAAGACAAGCCGTGGGGCATGCTTCATTATGTATCTAAGTCCTGTATGTGTTGTATATATGTTTACATGTAGTCATACATAAATTTGTTGCGTGTATGTATATATATATATATATGTACACCTAAATAATTACCATGGGCCGAAAAGCCAAAGAACCCCCAGCAAGGGAGACCTGCGCCGTGGCACTGATGCGAGTCTAGCACAGTGTTCGACAGTGTACTGTTTACATGGGTCCAGTGAGAGAGATAGCGAGTTCCGAGCAAGAAGCGCCAGAAACAGGCCGCGACGCGCGTTTTCTCCAATGCGGCGGGATCATATTCCGCAAACGTTGGCATTGCCGTGGAGAACGGTGCCAGCGTTGACGAGGAGCAACTGCAGGCCTGGCTGCTCGGAGCTTGCGGGGCCTTCGCAACATGGGTAATATAGGGGCCTTAATGATTAGAATTAGAATAAGGTTTTGGGGCCCACTATATTAAAATTATAAGAAGGAGCCCCCAAAATAGTATAGGTAATTATTAACGCCCCTACATTAGGCAGTCAGAGTCGTCGGTCTGCAAGTGTTTCAGCCTCTGAGATGTACAGTGCCAATGAGCATTCGGGGTATTACGGTATCGTTGCCGGTTGCCGCTCCTGCCTATTGAGCTTTATATAGGTTCTAAAGATTCTGTTGTTGTGTAGCCTGAAGAGAGAAGGCGTTTAGCAAGCTTCGCTCGAACACCTATGGCGGCTTTGCTCAATTGCCGGCTTCTTTTTTCTGGCATCGCAGGTACCATCGTAGCCATGTAGGAGGTCAAGGTGTTAGCAGGATAGAATCGACACCTTGATACACGGCAGGAGCAGTTCGTCACGCGCAAGGGATTTGCTCTCAGCCCCTTGGCTTTGTAAAGCCTTCTTGCACTGTTCAGCAGCGATTGGAAAATCTATACTTCATGGTTCATGGTTAATGCCTGCGACAGGAACATGAACAGTATGCCCGTGGAATTGCAGAGTTTCTTTAAGTGTTTGTGCACCCGCTCACATCAGAACGTGCTTGCAGTTGACATGAGAGACCGACTTGCGAAGCTGTTGAGGCTAGTAGCTAGCTCTCTGTCTCTCTCTCGCTCTTTCTCTCTCTTTCTATAGATAGATAGATAGATATATATATATATATATATATCTCTCTCTCTCTCTCTCTCTCTGTCTTTATCATATAAACATACACATTCTCAGAGTTACTGAGTAAGGCTCGGATGCACCCGGCGAGCTCATTGAGTCCTCTGGCCTATTCAAGTCCGCTCTCAGCAAGGCGGGCATGCAGCAGCGCATCCACCCCGACACTCCGTTCCTGTAACCATGTCTGGAGGAGTGCAGACTTACATCATTTCTGCTTCCGGATTCCTTCCACCCTTGCGGTGGATTACGAGGTCGACGTGACCTTCCAGAACCTGGACTCCAGCGAGATCTCGCTGACGGACGTGTCCCACTACTTCGACAACGATCCCACTAAGGTCGTCTCCAACCTCCGCAAGGCGAGGATGGGATCAGGCTTCGCATGCTTCCGGCTGAACAAAAGCAACAGGACAAGGACATAAAAAGGACGGTGTCAGCATTGGGAATAGGTTTGGAGCCCTCTACCTCACATGATGAAATTCAGAGTATAAGGGTTTGTGACATGTGCATGTCCACTGACGATCAGAAGTAAGAGAGCATCAAGCATTCCACCACGGCAGGATGGGAAAAAGCCGGCGGCCCTGATCGCTGACACGACCACGGCCAATGCCCAGGTCCGATCCCTCTCCGCCCAGGCTGGGGCATCCGTCACGTGGATTTCGGCTCTCTTGTTGGCATTAGGAGCTGCTGCTAACAGCACTGATGCCTTCACTAGTAGTGCATTACTAATTACGGCTGCTCTTTTCGTTTATTCCTGGCATTGGGACCGTTATCATGCTATTCTACTGCTCCTGCTCCTCCTCCTAGTCCTGCTGCTGCCCCTGCCTCTGCCACTGCCACTGCTGCGACTGATACTGAATAAGGGTCCCGTTGCAGGCCTGTACCTCACAGGACATGTTTAGAGCATCACTGCAAGGACTTGGTCACTCGCGACATCTCCAGGAGTCCCCAAGAGCCGGTGTGAAACTCTGATCGCGCGAGAACTTACCGAACGTTAACTTCCATTGTCGCTTGTGCTGGAGGTCAGGCTGGACAGCAGGACGAAGCTTCTGTGCCTCGGATGCATATGTGCGCAATTCCATCCGCCTCGCGTTGAGCTTTGCATCAAGTTCTGCGGGCTTTGCGTTTGGGCTCATGGTTGGTCAAGGGTCAACAGCACCGAATAGACGCGAACACCGACCAGCCAGACTGCGGCTGCCGCAAGCCTGTAACCACACGCGGAGATGCAAAGTGATTCAGCGATCTTGGAAAACAAGCGTATAAAGAGCGCGTTCAGATCCGTGTATACCGATACTAAAAGTATCTAAACCATAAAACTGAGTTTATAGAAACCCCCAGAGACTTCATGAATCGCGCCTGCTTGGAGTTCTCTATACGCCAAATCCAGCTTTGGTCCGTGTCGCGAGCACGCGAGTGATGCTGCGGCTTCAAGCCAAACTCCCAACGCGGATAGCCGTGAGCACTGCGACCCCAGAATCTTTAGTCACCCAACAGACCATAGTCTTAGGGGAACTTACAGATAATTTTTAGTCTTTGGCTACTATAAACCCTAAGAAGTAGCTAAAATTATAATTTTTGCTAGGGGTCTAAGTTCAGTATAGTAGTAAGTATAACACGAAGACAGCCCCGCGATGCAAGCCAGCGCCATCACCTCGGACCTAGGGCTGCTTTGGAGTCACACCTCAAAGAAAGGCCCCTGTCAGATCCGAGGGCTTGTCCTAATATGACTCACGAAAAAAAGGAAGGATTTGCAGAGTTCGGCCTAACCCAAAGCCCTAAGCAGCCCCAATCCTAAACCCTGAACCCCATACCCTATAGGCCCTAAACCTATATCCTGCCTCCATGGGAACCTTTTCTGAGGAACCCAAAGTTCTACGAGGCGAACCTGAAGGGAGGTTATGAGGGCGTCCGGGAGATCTCCAAGCGACCCTTCGATCTATATTATATGTATATATTATCTATCATCTATCCATCTATCTATGTAGTTCTCTACCTACATAGTTCTCCCTCGTGCAATAATCAATGAACAAATTCGTGTTTACATGCATGCTGCATGAGGATGTATGTATGTGTGCATGTATGTATGTACGCGTTCACATGTGCAGGTGTGCATATGTGCATGCGTGTGTGTGTGTGTGTGTCTGAGTATGAATCGGTATACGTGGACAGGTATGTGTATCTTTGCGTATCTGCCTGTGCCTGTGCCTGAGCATGTGGATGATTGAAATTCAGTGTCTATGCCTGCGTCTAGGAGTCTAGGTATGACATAAATACGTACATGCATAAACGCATACACTATGCAGACTATACATTTGCACACACATGCGACGCGTACGTACATACATACATACATGCATACGTACATACATACACACATACACTTACAAACTTACGCACGTACGTATGTTCATACCCACTCGTACTTACATGCTAACATACTCGCCTTATGTACTTATCAGTTTGCTTGTTTGCCGGTTTGTACCCTTGCAGATGCACACACGAGTGCCCACGCAGAAAGACTAGCAGAGACACAGACGGACGGACAGACAGACAAACAGACAGACAGAAACAGACGGCGACAGACGGCGACAGACAGAGACAGATAGAGAGAGACAGACACGCGCATAAGACTCACAACACACCTTCTTTAATCCGTCATGATGTCTGACGCACATTCCCGAACCTGGAAAATGCAAGTTGATGTGTGTCAGCAAAGCAATCACTACACAAACTTCTGTGGCATGCACCAAGGAATGAGATTTACCTTCGGTTGGAGCACAACAGCGGATGCCGCAGCGCGGCTGCATGTGAGTGCATGCTTGTGACCTCAAGGCACTAACTGTCAGATGGACATCGCAGCCCCTCCCATGCCTCGAACACCAAATCGTCTCGTCTCACAGTGGTGGGCTCAGTGGCAACCGCGAACAGCACACAGTCAAGCCAGGTCGACAACTTCGTGTACGAAGACTGCAACACGCAACTTGGGAGATGATTGAGTTGCCAGTTGACGTTTGTCTCTTTGTGACTTTTTGTCAGCATCATGCAGGCTTTCTGTTGTCATGTTCCATCACCTTGTGTATCTTTCAGGACCTACATCCAGGATGAAGAGATTAAGAACAAGAGACTTGGATTTGAACATCTTCGGCTGCTTTGCACTGGGATTGCCGGACAAGGTGTCGAGAATCCATTAACGAGGATGTTTACCGCCAGAGGTAGAGTCTAGCATGATTGCCTTCTCCACTGTGCGCTGCTGGAGTTGTAGCTTAGCAGCTCGTTCGTTGGATTGGCTTCTGTTCTACGGCAGCTGGTTCTGTTTCAGACCTCGGCGGCTTGACAGGATGTTGGAAGCGAACCCGGATGCCTTGAGGGACATGGCACGACGCTCAGTGTCTTGTGAGATCGGTGTTTCTGTGGGCACACGGTGAGATGTCATGATCAAATCTTAGCCCCGGATGACACGCTTGGGCTTGTGAAGGTCCTTCCCTCTGCGAAAATCCAAGTATCAGTTTAGACTCCTTGCAAGGGCAAACAACGAATCCGCGAAAGTGCCGCTGCACAGAGTCACGAGCTGCTGCCTTTGTGTTCTTACCAGTCCCAGTCTCAAGGCCGTCTCACCGAAGCCAAAACCTTGTCTCCCTCATTTCCGTTGCTTGAATTCCTCAGTAGAAGGAACCGTTGCTGACGCTCGTAAACCAAGTCGGCCGTTGCTTCAACGACGTGGCAGTGCGGTCGGAAGATGGTGCTGGAGCGCTTCACTTCCACATCACACAAGACATGGACGAACGAATGCGACAGCTAGCCGTTGACCTTGTGGACAGGCTTCTTGAAGAGCCCCTACAAAGCTTCACCTACGGACATCTCGGGGTCCGGCCAGAGTTCCGGTTCTGTCTGCTCGCAAGCTGAAGCAGAGGCTCTCGGGAGCTTCTGCCATGCTCGTGAGTTTTCCCGCGCAAGACAACTTAAACAGGCATGTGATGTGAACTTGACTGAATCCTCCGTCGCGAACACGTGTGTGATGCCAAAGTATTGCAGTGTGAAGGAGGGCTTGAAAGAACCCCAGGCAACCAAAGCGGTCAGGGGTGTGTGGGGGTTGGCCTCCACGATGTGATTTGCTTCGAGGCCCGACATTCTAGAAAAGGTTCGTGACATCGCCCGCCTTTGAGTCAAGGTGCAGACGTTCCTGGAAGCCAATGCAAAGGGCTACTGGGACACAGACGAGGCCACCGTTGACAAAGCTAAGTGCCGTTTCACAGTGGCTGCTTCCGAGCAGAAAGTCTACGGCACCAATGAATGAGCTGTTGCTGTTAGCAGCTGTCAAACGAAAGCTTAAGCCAAACCTTATATGTCCTACACCCCAAGCCGCTAAGCCGTAGTCTTACTCCCCGCTTTGTATGGTCAGGAGAACCTCCAGAAACTCAGGGATGTCTACCAGGCCGGTCCGTTGGGGCTCGTCGAGTATGCTGAGCATGATCCTGTCGCCTTCCTCGTGTGAGATGCCATGCTGATGCATGTCTAGTGTGTGTAGATATAATACATGTACAAATATGTGTAGATACCTATACACACATACACACACACACACATATATATATATATATGTATATGCACACGCACATATGTCACTTATGTGTTTATACGTTGTACGTTGTTAGACATAAAATTGTGAATTCCTACTGTAGGTTTAGCGTATGATAGATGCTGTTACATATTATGGTTATGTGTACATACATACATACATACATACATGCATCCATGCATCCATGCATCCATGCATGCATGCATGCATGCATGCATGCATGCATGCATGCATGCATGCATGCATGCATATATATATATGCATACATACACCTACTTTTATTTGTCGACTTCTATATGTGTTTATATGCATGTTTATACATGTGTATATGCATGTATGTATCTATCTACATATGTATGTATAGTTATATTGCCTCAGGAGTGCGAGGACAAGATTGAGGGCGTCGACTTCGCGGCCTAAGTCCTCGGAGCTGCTCTCCTGCAGGGAGCGTCAAGATGCCACCGACGTCGAGCGTTGCGCCTGTGTGTGTATCGTTAAAATGTGTATGTATAGACGTTATGTGTAATAAGTAATTGGATAGACAAGTAAATCAAGTAGATTGGTATCAACATGCACAAATCAAAATGTATGTGTATATATATATATATGATACTTAAGTGTATATGCACAACTATGTCAAAAGTCGTTTGAGACGAGGCAACCGTGCGCAGCAGATGTGGCAGTTTTGTTGCTGAAGCAATCGGCAGCGGCGTTCATGCTGTTCAGGTTGAGCTACGCAGGAGTCCTAGGAAGAGCCACACAAGTCCACGTAGGTTGGAGTTTGGTGGCAGGAGGCAGCCTTGCAAAGGTTTCAGGGACTAAAATCCATCCGGAAGCATTGCAGCAGTTGTGATTTTTTCGCATTGTGCATGACAGCCATTCCCAAGGCATTGCTTCGCCTGCTCCGAGTGAGTTCGTTACTGTTTGGGGCACGAGGCTTCTCGTCATTAGTCTGGCCAGATGTAAGACTCAGCCAGGTAGATCACAGGAAGCGGTCGCAGCTACTGTAGCAAGACAGTCAAAGAAGAACGACGACAAAAGCCTGACAACATCACCTGGCAGTGTTAAATCCCTGCTGCTGTTGCTGCGACCACTGCGACTACTCTTGCTGCATCTAGTGCTGCGGCAATGACTGCCACGATTGCTGACTGCTGCTGCGCTTGCTGCTGCTTTCTGCATTAGGGGCTCACGGGCATTTACTGCTGTTGGCGTTGCCATTGCAGAGGCTTTCCGAGCCACCATTCAACACCGTAGACGAGGAGGAAGAAGAATAACACATTCTACCACTGCTGCTCTTGGGAGTATCGCCGTTGCTCTCATCAGCACTGCCAATCTGACTTAGTGTCTCAAAGATATGTTTCGAGTTTCGAGACCTACTTGTAGTCCACCGTACTCCTTTTTGCCGTGGCGAGAGCAACCCGGAGGTGCCATACAGGTTGAAAGAACCTTTCTTTCGGAGTCATTGCCAGCAAGGGCACATCCGCTGCGAAGCATTCCTTTGATCTTGCCGTTGTTCAGCTTAACCAGCTGGCTGAGGACCTACAGTTGCGAAGTTTGCGCAAAAGAGCAGCTGCCGAGCTACTGTAGATCTTCAGCACCGTAACGAGCTGGTCTGAATTCTTTAAGTAGCCCACCACAGCAAGCAGAGGTCAAAGCATAAAGTGCTGCTTTGACGGTTCTCCTGATTCAGAATGTGTTCACCTGCTCTGGCGTTCGGGGCGCAGTGCGGAATCCCTGTCCAAGTTGATCTTGCTCCTTGGCACAAGCCAAAGAGTCGATGGGAGGATATGCAGCCAAAGGCAAGTCTCAACCTCAGCCATTCTCCCTACGACCTGAGGGAACAACTTGGCAGAAGTTGCACTTTTTTGAGTCGCTGCCGAGCTTCGTAGCTTGGCTGTGACACACCATTCCAGCGTAGCGAAGTTGTGAGAGCAACAGCCAAAAAACCCTCAAAATGCTGCCTGCCATCACCTGGCGGGTTGCGACCCATCTCATTAGAGCTCGAAGACTTAATTAATTAAGTGCTGCAAGAGCCCTGTTAAGCACCAACATTATGGCCGAATTATGGCCCGCTTTTAAGGTTGCTCCACTGCGCCTTTGAGCCCGCGCATCTGCGCGCACGCGGAAGAAAGGGAAGAGTGTTACCGTATGGTCTTATAGGATGACGGCAAAGTGCACGATTACAGTCGCAGACCACATATTTAGATTGGTGGATTCGCGAAGCGCTCTATGATAGTGGGGAGGTAGGATCAAACGCGGGATCACACTGACTTGCACAGCGGCCTTTGTTCTTGGACTTCCCGAGCATATACCCTGTGAGGACCCGGGTCACGAACCCAAATCCGGATTCGAGATATGATATCTTATGTTTTTCAATGTTATGCTATGTCATGTAATACAATGTATGATATTCTATGTTGCTTTACAGTGTTAAAAATATCCTACAGAAGTTACTCTGCTTGCATACGCCGAGGACCTCGCCGCACTCCTCGAAGAGAAGGAAGTGCTCCGAGGATCGGCCTCGAAAGCTGGGTTCTGGGTTCAGAGTGCCCCTTTTTATAGTATGTATTAGGGTAGTGTTCTAAATTGGGGTCCCTTTTAGGGTCCTTTTTATAAGGGTGCCGTACTATATTGGCGACCTAAAAAGGGGCCTAAATTAGAGAACTACCCAATAGAATATACATATAGAGTACAACACATGGGACTAAGGTGTACTCAGGCCCACGGACTGCGTGGGATCTCTGATCTAGTGGTCATGCCAGCCATTGCCACAGCAGAATTAGTAATGGTAGCAAGAATGAGATGCGGACAGCGCAAGCACTTTACCCACATACTAGCTGCTCATGATATTGGCAAGCAGCGAAACACTAAGAGCAGTAGAACTTGGACTCCTCTCTAGTTTTTTCATGCTTCTCATGAGCAGCTTGTATTGTGCTGTTATATTGAGGAGTTATTGCACCATCATTGCTATAAGTGTTTCTGCTGCAGAGCAGGCGGACGGCGAGAGCATGGCACCGATTTGCAGGCCTTTGCCCTCAGTTGGATTTCAGAGATACTCGCTTCTGACTCCACCCGGAGGCTCCAGGTGTGAAACAGAGTTTAGCACCACCGCAAATGAGGTCTCTAAATTGAGTATTACATCCGCTACATCCTAACCCGGAAGACCGACACCGTTATGCGCACAGTCTGCGCACAGTGAGCTTAACCGGCATTCAGCCACGAAGATGTTGGAACATGAGGACTCCCGTTTAGGTTCACAACTGGCAATTATCATTGCCAGGCACGGATGGTGGTGCTGCAGGACGATGCAGCCGGCTCCTCCGCGCGGATGCTAAGCAAATCGGAATCAGGCTTTGCCGAAGCATGTCTGGCACAGATGCTGGCGATGTCGAGTCTGAGCCTGTCGTGCCAGCATTAGATGCGAAGATGTGCGCGCGCGTGTGTCTGTGTGTGTGTGTGTGTCTGCGCCTGCATGCATGCATGCATGCATGCATGCAGGCAGGCCTGCATGTATGGCACAAATGTATGTGTGCATGTGCATGGCGTATGTACGTCTGCATTCACGCATGCATGCATTCACACACGTGGTGGCAAAGGAAAGCCCGCACGTGTCTGTCAAATTTGTCCATCTTCATATGCAGGTGTATGTGTAACTATCCGCATCTTTTTCTGCAGTACGTGTACACATATATCAGGCGCAATTCTCGCGTATTTCCTTTATCACGGGTCGTTCTGGCACGTTCCTTTCTGGCCTGGAACCAGGTTATGTTCTCAGTGCGCGAACGCATCCTCAAGGCTCGCCCAGAGAGAGACCTCGGCGGTCGCAGGAATTTACTTATTGTGAATTTTATTGTCGTTATTGAATATTGTTATTCTTGTTATGGTTATTACTATGTTATTACTAGTATTGTCATTTTTACTCCTAAGTATGATGGGTTTTTTATCGTTATTTTTAACTGTTACTATTTTTCGGTACATTCATTGATACTCTTAATTTTGTATCATGATTGTTGCTGTCACTATCAGAACCGATTCGGTGGCAAAGGCTAAGTCTAGTGAGATTCACCACCCCAACAGCTCTTGCCTTCATTATAGCAGAATATAGTAGAGACTATATAATATAGTGTAGATTATATAACTTAGTATATATTGCATAATCTGGTAAAGTATTGCTATATGTTAGCAGTATATATATATATAAGATGCCCATAGTTATTCCATGATCATAGTTGCCCTTCTTCATCCAGTAATCCACACGGCATCCGACGCCGCGCAGCATTCGACGGCTCGAGTGGCACCGGCAGAGATGAGTCACATAGCTTTCTGAGTGCGCACAGCCACTGATTCCCTAGAATCTATCTGTTTACTTCCTATCAGGCCCGAAACCTCGGGAGCGTCCCGAAACTTGCGAAGCCATTGGCTCGGGGATATATCCTTTCAGATCTTCGAGCACAGGCATCCGAGCAGATCCAGTTCCTTGCAAGCTTGTCCAAGGCCGCCTTTGCCCCGCATCAGGTTTGGACAGCAGCTTAAGGAAACAGCAGTCCTGTTGATATTCATCGTGGAAAGGCCGTACACGCTGCACTTGCAGCCGGCGTGTTCTGCTGCTAGAGTCTTCGAGACGTTCCACTTCTGGACACAATCGTCCCCTGATGCAGACAACATGTTCGCTTCAAGCCGACTGCAGGTGGAGGCTGGCAAAGCACAGCGCGATTGGGAGTCGGCGGCTCAGTCGCGGTCCTCCATTCCCAGCTTCCTAGCAACCGCTCGACTGTCATAGAATTAGCTGTTCGCGTGGCGGTGGAGTTCCCATTAAGAGCAGTTTCATTTGCCAGAGGGTCGCCTCTCGCTGGTAGTGCTCCATATCGTGCTACATGTGGGCCTTTTAATAGAGTGCATGGTGGGGAAGCATGATGCTGCAGTGATCTCACACTGTAAGTAACACAACAGGTCCCCTCTCTCTGCCCACCTTGCTGAAATGTGGTCTTGACCGCTTCCAGGCGAAAATCCATGGCCGTCCTGCTAGCATGGGCGTTTCCCGAGCTGCTCGCAGAGGTGTGGCTGAAGTGATGATGAGATTTAGAAGTGGTGCGTTGCCTGAACACTGCGTGGGCGATGCAGCTGGAGGGTTAATACCCAGCAGCAATGGTCAGAAGTGTACGGATCCGGCAGCACCTGATCGAATTTCACCCTCAAGTCCTCGTCCTGTCGCAACTACTTTTCACGAAGACCACTGGCACCGATGACCGTAGTAGCAGTTGGTTTTGTTGATTCACACCGTGCCTTTGGTAATCTGTGTTACAATGTTCTTGCTGGCTAGTAAGCCCAAAATGGCCAGGCGATCTCTGACACGGAAGACAAGCGCGGGTGCACCGGCTCTGTGGGAGGGCATCCGGCAGTGGGGACTCTGGCAAATTCATAGCAGCGGAAGCAGCAGTCGTCGTCGTCACACTGGCGGCAGCCGTGACCATGACATTCATTAGTTAATAGTAGCATGTTCTTGCAAGAAGCCCAACTGAAGTTTCGCGTGGGTTTCTGTTTCTCATGGTTTTTCTCTACTGACTCTTTGTTATAATTATGGAATATCGTTCTCTACTGGCTCGTTATCATTACTATGGTATACTTTCCTCCAATGACTCCTTATGATAGTTATGGGTATATTTTCCTCTACTGACTCCTTATTTTCCTCCACCGACTCCTTATTATACTTATGGTATATTTCCCTCTGACTCCTTATGGTAATCATGGTGCAACATACGCAGAAACCCTATCGTAGTTCTTAGGCCTTATGCCATCTCATCGGAGAACTCCAGCCCCTCACTGCTCTGGTCCTATGCTTTTTGTATAACTATATTCATATAATATATATATATATATATATACACAGCATACAATATTTGATATAGAAGTCTTGTGATATCTGAGATATAACCGGAAATCTCTGATATGTCCTTCTGTCTCGCAGCCTTCGCTCCGAGATTGGAATGACAGGAAGTACTACAAGCTCGTCAGCGGCGACGAGGTTTTTGTGGACACGAAGGACTCCACGAACTAATCTGCAGAAGGGATGGGTAGTTCTCTAAATTAGGGTCCCGGTTTAGGGTGCTTGTTTATAAGGGTGCCATACTATAGCCACATGGGTAGTTCTCTGAATTATGTTCCCGTTTAGGGTACTTTATAAGGGTGCCATACTATAGCGACATGGGTAGTTCTCTAAATTATGGTCCCGTTTAGGGTACTTTTTTTATAAGGGTGCCATACTATAGCCACATGGGTAGTTCTCTAAATTATGGTCCCTTTTTGGGTCCCCAGTATAGTACGGCACCCTTGTAATATGTGCAGAAGGGATTCGCCTGTGCATATCAGGGATCCTTTATACCTGTCTTGTCTTTATTTGTTGGGTGAGGCGGTGTGGGTGACCACCGTGGTTCGCAGCTTCCTTTCTGAACTGTGCGGGTCTCTCGAGTGATTGTGCAGGACAAACTGGCAGAATGCAATCGATTAATCGTGGCATCTGCCACCGGCGGCAAGGCGCCAGAGTTTTTGTCTTCAGGGAGTAGCACGAAGGCCGAAGCAGACGCTGACACTAAACAAACACTGTCATAGACTGCAGAAAGTCCTTGAATTCCTCCTTTACCTGACAATCGCATCAAGATCTCGACCCCTTCTCTTGCCGAACGTGATCTGCTGAGACTGCCGCGGGCCCGTGGATTCTAGCTTTATTGTTCATGCGGTGCGATCCCGCATCAGAACAAGTAATGCCAGTCGTAGTCCAGTAACACTTCTACTAAACCGGAAGTTTGGCATCAACAAGGATGCTGCCAAACCCGGGGCAGGTTTTCTGGGCGATGCCGGCCGACTTCCAGTTGCTCGCAGACTACGGCATCGATGCCTCAGATCCTGTGAACCACAAGGCTTTTGGGACAAGTGGGAGGGCTACTGGCTGGGTCTTATGTTTCTGAGCTCAAGAAGAGTCGGAGAGAGGCTAATCTTGTTTCGGCTTTCTTGCGAATTTGCATGTGCGTATTACTTTGGGGCAATGGCTTGAAGACCGGAGCAGGGAAACGTATCAAGAAAGCAGGCCGTTGAGTATCACAGCATTCGAGATGAGCTGGGATTAGAGTTCGACTTGGCCGATACCAGCCCAACTTCCCGGCAACCCAACCGCATCGTTGCAAACCCTCCCCGCAGATTTTGAGCCAGCGTGGCTCAGACGACGAGGGTGCCAAGCCTGCGCCCCAGCCATGACACGACATGCGAGCCCCTTCTACTGGCCACGTTCATGCATTTAGTCATGTGGATGTGTGGTCCCTTGCTTGGTCGCCACTTGCAGGCTTGACATGCCGGAAGTCCGGCGATATTTCATAGGCCTCCGAGGGCTCCTCTCGGATTCTTTCAGAGACCTACTTTCGGGATTCATGGAGCTACCTAGACGGAGCTAGAGACCTGAACAGCGACCGCGGCTGCGTGTAAAACATCGCTGTTTTTGATGCTGTCGGCGTGCAGGCAAGAACTTCGATGGGGCTCATTCGCCGGAGGCCCGTACATTGACAGGGCAAGTATGAACGCATACCATGCCCCAGCAGATGACAAGCAAGCTGAAAGCACGTGGTATGTGTTTGCTAGCCTTTGGTGTCATGGACCGTCCAAACATCGAATTAGCGGCATGGTGATGAAACAGATATTTCACTCGAAAGGTACGGCAATAGCACATCACGTTGAGTCAAGTTGGCGGCCTGAGAGCTATGCCCGAAGCCACATGGGTAGTTCTCTAAATTAGAGTCCCTTTTAGGTTGCTTTGTTATAAGAGTGCCGTACCATATTTGGGATCTAAAGTGATGTGGGACCCTAATTTAGAGAAATAGCCACATGACAGCGCGTGGTATTGCGTCAGCACACCCTCTGAACCAGACGAACCTGAAGCTCAAAAGCCTACTAATACTAATATTCATACGAATACTCTACTCGAAGTATATAATGCAGTACTAATGCTACTACTAAATCTAACACTAGAAATACTAGTGCTAATCCAATACTAATACTATAGTACTTGAACCAGTACCAATCTATGCTGTGTTCTGTCCTCGAGGAGCTTGTCAACTACATGGGGGCAAAACCTACGGAGTTTCCCACTCGGGATGCCTGCGGACTCAGCGCTCAGAGCAGGGCCTAAAGTATACAAACAGTACCTACTTGGGGGATCTTTGGGGCTTCGGGGGTCTAAAGTCTATAAATGGAGACCTACTTTGGGTCAGGGTTCAAGGGTTTAGGGTTTCAGGTGGCTGAAGTACGCCTCATGGCAGACTTGGCGCAAAGATATTTGCGCTACTCAGGTCACCGACTTGATGTGGGATTTGGCAAGAGCCAGCGACAGTCAACACGACTTGCCGTGGCCTCAACTTGTTTCATCCATAGTCCCGTTCTGACAGGATGATACAGGACGCACCTAGATGCACAGCTGCTTACATATACGTGCAGAGTAATTTGTGCCCTGCAATCTTACCATATTCGTGGTGTGTCATCCTATTTAACCTGTCCTGTGGCGTGGAAGTAAGGACAAGAAAACAACAGACAGGTGCATATGAAAGAAGCAGGCACATCAAAGCACACGAAATGCTGATTGTCCATCTCAAACGCAACATCGAGCAAACGGATCTCCAAATCGGCTGCATGCGTCAGCGATGCGTGCAATGCAGGACAGTACCACAGAAGCACGACTTCAAGTCACAGGAGAGGCATCAGAAGAAGCAAAACAAAAGGCAGCACATGACAGCACAAATTTAGGCAGCAGGGTATCGACACATGTTGCGTGAATGTGCTCGTTGTCCTGCGTGGTCGCTGTAAGGGCGCAGGAGTTCAGGTGAATTCAATCGAATACATGCGGTGCCAACCTGCTGGGGCGGACGGCGGAGGTTGACAAATCTGCCACTGGGGGTTCGCTGCACTGCCTGCGCCGAGGATGCGGTTGCTTCTGCACAAGGTCATCATGCTCGGCCCTTAGGTTCGGGTGCATCTCGGCTCTCTCGCGAATGAGCCACTCCCTGGTAATTACCCCGACAGCCAGGAAGTCTGAAGTAAATGATGACATGGGTGGCGAGATATGCCTGCTGGGGAAAACCCGAGAAGCAGCACAGGTTTCCGCAGACACCGAAACGAAAGAAAGGACAAAAGCCAGCCGATCTCTTGGTGTTTGGAGAGGCCCCGTTGCTCCGAGTTCGCCCTGCACCCAGCCGAGGGCCGGGGAATTGGAACTCAGTGGGATGCGTCGGCTTAAGTTTCAGTAAGAGCCGGTAGCCGAGTCACTGAAGGGAAGAGGTTCAGAGGCTTGAGTTTAGGTGTTTAGGGTTTAAGCTGTTAAGAGGCCAGAGTCTTTTTCGATGCGTAGTTTGCTAGCCAGTCCTGCACATGCATCAATGATTCAACACGCCCCTACTTTCTTTTACGGATGATTTGGAAACTCGAGCAGCCCTAATCCTGACATTGGCTCTTGCTGGCATATCGGGACAGAGAGAAACAGGAACGGGGTTGTAAGCAGGGCTTACAAATCTCCGGGTTGGGTGCTTAGTCGGCTTAGCCTTTCGGTCCCGGTAACTCCAGACCACGCATGTGCCGGAAATTACCCTGTCCTTAACCCTGAAGTCCTCGCCCGTTCCCGTACACTGCGCTTTTTGCGGACAGCGGAAACCCCAATTTCAAGGCACGATAATTGAACCCGCAAGCCCCAAAGCCTGCAACACTCCGGATGTTACGGCGGATGGAAAAGGGCCCTCAAGAAAAACAGATTCCCAGAAGGCATTAGTCTTATCATGACTGTTGTGGTTACTATAGGTTATCTGTCACTCAATAGTCAAGAGTCATGACTACTACCATTATTGTTCTTACTACCGGTATACCCTAAGCCCTAAACCCTAAAACCCCTAAACTCTATTCCCTTAATCCTAAACCCTAAAAACCCTAAACCCTATTCCCACTTTCCCTAAACCCTAAAAACCCTAAACCTCATTCCGTAAACCCGAAACATTTGACGCCGAGGTCGCTGCTGAGCTCGCCGAAGTCTCTTGTGCGCTCGCTATCGCTGGTGCCAGGGGCCCAGAAAAGTCGGTAGCTGGGGCTTTCGTGGTTTAGAAAGTTTAGGGTTTAGGGCCTAGGGTGTAGGGGGTTAGGGCCCTAAATACTAGGGCCTACAGCTTGTAGGATCTAGGATGATGTAGGCTTCAAATTGGCAGGGCTGAAATGTTCCCACTGATCGCTCAGCCGTTGACAGTGTCACTTGGGCACGCAAGCGGACCCTGCGGTAGGAAGCTCTGGCTTAGCTCTAAAGTTGCCGGGTTCACACTAGGCCAGAGACACCCGAACAAGGTTTACGA